TTGCTACAATTCTAGTTTGTCTTTGATTTTACAAGTATTAACATGCCATTAATAACTAAAACTTTTACAATTGTAGTTTTAAAATATTCACCTGGTTCTAGACTGGGTCTCTGCTGCTTAGTCGCAGTGTAATCTTTAGCAGGTTACTACTTTTTCTCTTTAGGCCTCAGATTCCTCATCAATAAAGTAAGTATTAAAACTATCTAATATAGCAGTTGTGAGGATTGAAAATAGGTATTTATATTTAGCACAGTGCCTGGAATACATAAAAAGTGCTCATGAATTTAGCTCTCATTATGCTAAGCTTGCAAGTAAGCTTTAGCTTAATCCTCTAGCTGTGATCTAAGAGCATTTGTTTTTACAGTCTGTGTCCTACATTCACAAGTAGATTGGAGAATGGAAGAGATCCTCCATAGCTAATGATGTCATATGGTTCCAGAGAAGAAAGATTTTTGAACTACTAGTTAAGACCATACTCTTAAAATGAAAAACAATTAGAAAGAATGTCTGGTTGGAAATAATATCTGTTTTCATTTGTCATTATAATAGGATTGAGGTTTTTCATTGTTAGCAAAATAAAATGCAACATTGATATCTGGGAGCTAAGAATCATTCAGGTAATCCACAAAGACGGTTCCCCAAAATAAAAACAGTAGAGCCAAATTTAGGTAAAACAAATAATGTGGAAGAAAAGAAAGCCCAGGTTATCTTCCTATATCTTTGTCACCCCCACATACAATAAAATCTCATTCACATCACCTAAAGAAAAGAGAGTCTAAGTGTAGAACGTTAATTTTAGATTTTTTTTAATTTCAATTTTTATTTTATTGTGGTAAGAACACTGCCTTGGATTGAATGTTCCCCCAAGACTTGACCCCCCACTGTGACAGTGATAAGAGGGTGGGAAATTATTTTGTGGGAGTTGAAAGGTGGGGCCTTGAAGAGGTGATTGGACTGTGAGGACTATGCCTACTGAATGGATTGATCCATTCACTGAGTGATAAGTTGATAGATGAATGGTGGGGTGGGTGTGATTCTGAGGGCTTAAAAAAGGAGAACGCATGAGAAGCTCTCTCTGTGCTTCTGCTATCTCCCAATGTGATACCGAGTCACCACCAAAGAAGATGCTTGCCAGATGTGTTCCCTAGACTTTGGACTTACCAGCCTCTGAAACCGTAAGCAGTAAATTTTGTTTTCTTATAAATTACCCAGTTTTTCAGGTATTTTGTTATAAGCAACAGAAACGAACTAATACAAACACTTAACATGAGATCTACTTTCTTAGCAGGTAATATACAGTATAATGTTGTGAACTATAGGTACAGTGTTGCACAGCAGATCTCTAGACTTACTCATCTTTTATGACTGAAACTTTATCCCCATTCCCCCCACCACCCAGCCCCTCGCAATCACTATTCTACTTTCTGCTTCTGTGAAGTTGCCATTGACTATTTTAGATATTTTATGAATGGAATCATGCAGTATTTGTCCTTTCATGACTGACTTATTTCACTTAGCTTAATGTCCTCCAGGTTCCTCCATGTTGTCACATATTGCAGGATTTTCTTCTTTTTTAAGGCTGAAATATAGTCCATTGTGAGCATATACCACATTTTCTTCATTCATCTGTCAATGGACATTAGGTTATTTGCACATCTTCATCCTTATGAATCATGCTATAGTGAACATGGGAGTGCTGATATCTCTTTGAGATATAGACTATTTTAAATAGTTTTTAAAAAAATTTAAATTGGTCTGTCATTGCAATCTAAGTGATTTTAAGTAGGATGCTATTTTATGTCAATGAGATATACTAATTGTTTTAATTCAGTTGTTCTAAGTGGGCTCAGTACCACCATTGTTTTTATCAACTGTATTTTCAAAGGTAAAGATAGGTTTCAGCCCAGCTATTTGAGTCGCTATTGATTTTTAAATTAACTGTTTTTTTTGTTTGTCTGTCTGTTTGGTCTTTTTTAGATAAAAGTGTTGCTGTCTTTTTGACAAAAAACGCTTGGGAGTGCTGTCAGAAATGGAAGTACATGTGGAATGAGCTATTGATTACTGATGGCTCTTTTGACATGATAATAGTCTAACTTTAAAACTGAAATGCCTTTATGATATACTGTGAATGAGCTCAACCGCTCTTCATCAATATTACAGCACCTTCAAAATCCAGATCAGATAGCTCCTTTTCCATGATCAGCCTTCGTCCCCAAGCCATAAGTAATCCTTTTCTCCTTTGGATTCTAATAGCATTGTTTTTTTTTTTTCCTTTTTGTCTTTTTTCGTGTCCGGCAACAGATCGCAACCCTCAGTGTCGCGCCCGTACCGGACCAGGACCGGCAACGGGATCGCAACCCTCAGTGTTGCGCCCGCACCTTGCTCAGCCAGTGAGCGGGAACCGGTCTGTATGTGGGATCCGAACCCTCGGCAGGAGCGCCGCCGCGCTCCCAAGCGGCGCACTGTAGCAGTGCGCCACCGGGCCGGCCCTAATAGCATTGTTTATACCTCTTTTTGTAGTTATAAATTGGCCTTGAAATATAACTATTTGTATTTCTTTTCCCTAATAAAGTATAAGTGCCTCAAAGTGCAAACTGTTAAACATTTAGATAAACTCAACAGATAACTTTTTTTTTTTTTTTGTCCTTTTTGTGACCGGTAAGGGGATCGCAACCCTTGGCTTGGTGTCGCCTGCACCGCGCTCAGCCAGTGAGCGCACCAGCCATCCCTATATAGGATCTGAACCCACGGCAGGAGAGCCGCTGTGCTCCCAGTGCTGCACTCTCCCGAGTGCGCCACGGGGTCGGCCCAACAGATAACTTTTTGAATATCTACTTCATCCAAAGTACTGTGAATAAGCATGAATATTACATGGTTCTTGTCCTTGTCATTTTATTCCTCATAGTGCCTGGTCTCCCTCTTGACTTTTCGCTCTTACATCCCATGATAATCTCTTTTTATCCTTCTCCTTTGCTTGCCACTATGTCAAGCATGTTTTGTCTCTTCTTCTACAGACTTATGAATAATGAAGATGACTGAGGCTTATTGCTGAACTCTCTTTTCTTTTCACTACACACTCTTTCTAGATGATCTCATTTATTCTCATGCATCTAGAATATCATCTTTGTGTCTACAACACTCGATTTTATGTCTTTAGTCCAGATGCTTCTTCTGAACCTCAAGTATTTCAGTTGCCTTTGGCATCACAAAAATAAATGTCTTGAAGAAAGTCCTTTATTTTTTTCCTCAAAGTTGGTCCCACCCAGCCCCCCAGAAAAGCACCTTCGTCCACTCAGCTGGCAAGCCAGAGTCCTGAAAGTGATCTTTGACACATCTTCTCCCCACCTTCCACATTGAGTCCATTACCAAGTCCTGTTGATTCTGCCTCCAAAATATATCCCTCCTCTGGGCTCTGGGCTCTGCTCTCTGTAGCACTGCCTACACACCAACTCACAGTGCAGGCATAATGCCCCACTTTGGCCCCTCTGATGCAATCACCATGGAGTTGTCACAGTGATCATTTAAAATCACAAAGCAGATCATGCTTTAACACCCTACCTTGATTCTTATTGTTCTTAGGATAAGATTTAGAAATCTTTGACATGGCTTGAAGACTATATAATTGTGCCTTCTTCTCCAGTCCCATCTCATGCTACCACTACCCTCTGTAATTCTTTAAATTCCAGAGACTTGTTGAGTCTTCCCCCACCCTCACCCCTTTAGGGTTTTTGCACAAGCCCTACCTTCTGAGGACCCCCTTCTACCAAATGAACCTCCACTAACCCCCTCTGTCAACTTAAACATTATTTCCTTTGACAGGCTTTATCCAACCCCTTAGACTTAAGTTAGGTCCTATCCCACATGTGTATCTCAAAGTTTCCTGGACTTTTTCTTTATAGCACCTCTGATAATTGGTAAGATTGATTTCATTGGATAATTATTTGCTCTGTATCTTGCTTCTCCATTGTTCTATATGATCCATGAGGTCAGGGATTATGTCTGTTTTGTTGACAGTTCAGGCCCAGGACCTGACACATAGTGGAGAGTCAATAAATATTTGTGGAATGAGTAGAATAAATAAGAAAAGTTAGAAAGTGGACTAAAATAACTGTATGACAGAATGCGTTTAAAACTTCAGGCTATAAATTAATGTATGGAAATGTTTCTGACCCCTTTGTGAAGAACTTTATTAGTTCATGACTAAACCAGATATGTGCTGTTTTCTGATCTGTCAATTTTTAGTATTATTACAAAAGAATATATTTGGCAATAGGAAGAAGATATTTTTTATTAGTTTTGATCCCATGCTGTTTGCCTGATACTATTCTAGACACCTGGGATATAGCTGGTGTGATGCTGCTTACTTTCCCATGGAGAACAGACAGTAAAAAAGTACACAGAAGATTTCAGCTCTTGGAAAGTACTGTGAACTAAGTAAAACAGAGTAATGGCATGGGAAGGGTGGTTAGAGAAGTCTTATTTGAAAAGATAACGTTTGAGCTAACACCGGAGTGACAAGGAGCCCACCACTGGAGATCTGCTAGAAGAGTCTGTCAGGCAGAGAGAACAGCACAGGCAGAAGCACTGAGTCAGGTTCCACCGGGCACATTTGAGAAACGGGTGGCAGATGGTCCCAGAGCACAGCTAATGAAGGGAGTGTAAGCTTCCAGAGTTAGAGATACCATGGCTTGAAGTTCTGACTCCACCCCTTGTTGGCTGTTTATCATGAAGTGGAGATCATGGTGATGTCCAGCTCATAGGAATGTTGCTAAATAAGATAATGAAGGTGAATAGTAATAATAATGTACATCATTGATAATTTAAGCATAATTTAATATACCTTCCGTAGAATTTATGTGAAGGAGAAACTGGTAAAATGAATATTACTTTAACTAATGGCTTTGTTTATGTGTTTCATAGTTTATTAATTTATTACCTTTTGAAACAGTTTGTTACATAGCTAATTATTTATAAACATTTACATTGATTTCTTATAAAAGGTTAAAAAGCTGAAGAGAGAACTCTCACAGATGAAGCAAGAACTACTCTATAAAGAACAAGGCTTTGAAACATTGCAGCAGTAAGTATAACAATACTGAAATTGACTTTAGAATAATTCACAGATCCCTAACTAATAGAATGAAAATAGAAGTACAGATTATATAAAAGATTTCTCAAAGAACGTAAAGTAAAAAGCTCAAAGCTATGCACCAAAAACCGAAGAAAACCCAATCAACCAACAAACAAAAAACTTGGGAAAAATCTATACACTTTGAAAAGGTCTGAAGTTTTAATTGATCTTTGGAGATCCAAAGAAACCAAAGTGAAAAACTTCACTTTGTCTCCTGGACCCCTGCCAGCCTCGTTGTGGTATAGAGCTCAGAGAATAGGCACAAGAGGTGCCTCTCCACATTGTGCTCCAGACACTGGACTGGGTGGGCTATCCTTTACCCCCTAAGTGGGCCTGCAGCTGCCCTGAACCCTCGGTTGAAGGCCTCTGACTGCCCCTCTGTCAGCCCCAGGGATGACCTAGAGTCTCACCCTGACTGATCTCAGTGGAGGAAGGGCTTGTTGGGATTGTCAGCAAAGGAGCTTGAGTATGTTCCTCATTTCCTGCTTTTCTTCTGTCCTCTCCAGTTCAGTGCTGAGGTCTGATAGGCCATTGGCATAGCTTTAGGCTGGGCCTGGTTAAATGAAAACATAGATGAAGGAAGGTAGCAGGATCTGGAAATCCCTGCCCCAACCCTGGCTGCTGGAAGCTACTGTTCTCCCTGTTAATGAGGCCCAGCCTAATCAAACCATGCCAAACACACCTGAGAAGTTCTAACTCCCCACCTCACAGGGTCTCGCATGGAAGGAAAGAAGCCTGTGATTTTCATACCCCTATGACCTCAGAGAGGTGGAAAGTGTTATCCCTGAAAGGCATTCAACTGCTTTTTATTTCCCTCCTGCATGGTGCAGGGCTTGGAGCAGTATTTCTAGGGGTTTCCCTGGTCAGTTTTATGTTCAGGCAGGTTTCTTGTTCTCCCTGGCATTTCCCTCAGTAGCACCTCACAAATACCAAGCTGGTTTCAAGAGCCTCCTCTGTGCAAAATACCCAGCTGTGTTCCTTTTCCCTGTGAAATCCTAGTCCGCTTTCTGCTCTTAGGAAATTTGGGACAATATAAGGCAGCAAAGCATTATCCCCTTTAAAGATCCCGTGCATCACAGCTGAGGCAAACATAAGCTGATTGTTCTGTACGTTTGGATGATGAGTTATATCTTGAGATACCTGTCACTGCCTGTGACCACCAGTCAGGCACATGACTTTAGTTATAGACATTTGCTTTTATGGCTTGGTCTTTTTTGTCTACTTGCCTCATGTAATCATGACCCTGATATTCCTTCAGATGCTCCCATGTAGAGGTTCTAAACCTGATTGCATATTAGAATAATCTGGGGAGCTCTAAAATAACACCTGTTTCTTGTTTCCATCCCGGGTGTGAGAGGGTTCTTCAAAAAATTCACAGTTGTACTGGCCAGCCACCCCCCCCCCAAAAAATTTTTTTTTTCATAGAAAGACTTGTAGTATGTTTTAATCATATTTTTTCCATGAGCTTTTTGAAGTACCCTCTTATTTTATGAGATCCTAGGTGGTTCTAAAGTATAGCCATGTTCTAAGAACTTTAGCTGGTTGCAGAGCTCCCCTAAAAACCAAGCAGACCTAGAATGACATAAATGTGTTATTTAATAATTGTATATCAGTATAACACAGGGCTTTGTGGTGGGGGTGGGGAGAGAAAACAAACTTTGAAGAGTACCACAAAATGTTTAGCCATATGAACATTTTTAAGGCACATGAAATTATAACTCACGTTGCCACTCAGAATGAAAGGTTAGCTAAACTTACTGTTTTTGTTATGTTGATATAACAATGCTGTATTGTTTTAAAGCAGTTTGCTTGCAAGCAATTTTTATAGGAATTTAAGGCATGTTTAAGAATCTGTCAATAACATTCCACAAGAAAACAATAGACATTTGTTGTAGAAATTCAGGCATTCTCTTGCAATGATTCTAACCCCTTGAACCAAGAGCAGGAAGATATGATATCTAACATCAGAGACCTCTCCTGTTGATCTTTACTGTAGACAAAATAAAGCTGTTTTCATTCAAATGTTAACCACCATACTACTATAACATTGAATGATAATTGATTGAACCCAGAAACCAGACGTTTTAAGAAACCACATTCCTGATACTATAAAGGGACTTTTATTTGTGGCTGTGACAGAAAATACATTTCAGTAAAAGATTTAAATAGAATCCCATTGCAGACTTTGTGACTTTTTACTTATTCACAAGGGAATGGAATATTTTTGTTGAATCTGGAATTATAATGTAATTTAAACTTGAGCTTTCATTCCACTTGGTATAATAGTTTAATGTTGGGCAAACAAATACAGTTTTGTTCTCTACATTATTCATTTCAGGTTGTGGTTCCAAATTTGACTTTGGCCTAACCAGTAGTGTAGCTTATGTGTAGATGGATACCAGTAAGATGCATCTTTCCTCTTGCCGCCTCCAGTGTGCACTCAAAATTGGAAAGTAGGAAGTGATGAAACACCCGCAAGCCAAAAGTATGTGCAGATTCTGAGAAGATTTGGTTCTGGGAGTACACATTTTCCAGAGAATGTTTGCACATGAAAAGCTCCTTCAGAAGAGACTAAGATATAGAGTAAAAATTAATTATAGGGTACACAGAAGCCAAAAACTTTAAGGAAAAAAAAAAAACCGTCCCTGGACTGGCCAGCCACTAAAAAAGAAGGTACTTCTCAAATTAAGAACAAAAAGTGCAGTACTTTTAAAAGTCAGCAAGTATAAAGCTCTTATTTTATTATGTTTTATTTTATGGTCAGTTAGGGTTAAAAGAGAGAAAACGTGGAAAATAAAAAGTTGAGCAAAAGAGAAACATGGAAGTAAAGGAAAAAAGTGACACTTAAAGTAGAAAAGTTTGAAGGAGGCAGAAGAAAGGGATAAAAGAACAAAAGGGGTTCCGTGGTGATTTTGGGGGGGGCTTTGGCTCTATGGGGATCCGAACCCCTTGACCTTGGTGTTATAATACAGTGCTCTAACCAACTAAACTAACTGGCCAGCCGTTCATGGTGAGTGTTGAGTTGAGATAGCTTGTTCTTCGTATTCATATTTAGCATTCAGTTGAGCAGTGGATAGCTGAGAAATTTTTATTTTTAAAGGTCTCTGAAATTTAAATGAGCAGGCTTTAACTATTCCTGCTTTTCAAGTGTTACGTTTGTTTATGAATATGGTTTACCTGCTTTTATTGTCAAATGCTAAAGTTTATTTCTAAATTAAAATTTTGTTTTACCATTAAATTATGAAGATTTTACAAAAATAAGAAGAAATTACTAAAGCTTTAGAAATTCACCTTGACACAGTTTCAAATCTGTATTACTGGTTTCGTCATGAAACCTCACAGTTTTTTTTTTTTTGTTTGTTTTTTTAGTTTAAAAATGCTGCATTTGAAAATGCCAAAATACTGTATTTGGAAACAGCATTTCTTTTATTTACTAAAGCTTTGAGTTGACTAAGTTTGTGGATATAATACTCAGGGGAACCAAAAATTTCATTGATAAATCCCTTCTCAAATAAATGGGATTAACCAATATTCAAAGTACTTCACTGTTCTCATCAAATATTCTAAATGTAATAGTCGTTGAGCCCCAAGCCTGAGTCTGTTATTTTAGGATAGTTGCCCTATTAACTAAGTGTTTATGCAATTTAGGGGCTAAATTTGCATACAGTTTCTGGCTTCAGTTTCTTCATTTGGAAGAAGGCACACTAGAGGATCTCTAGGGCCCCTTCCCATCGTGTGTGTGTGTGTGTGTGTGTGTGTGTGAGAGAGAGAGAGAGAGAGAGAGAGAGAGAGAGAATTCTGTGACTTCCTTGGTTGTTCCGTATGTTAAATGACCTTATGATCAAGTTTATTTTATTTTCTCTGGTTTCGTAAGGCTTTAAGTTTTTGTTGAGCAGCATAAAATATATACTAAAATAGTATTTGGGAAATACAAATCATCTTCAAAAAGTTCATGGAAAGATTTGTATTATCTTTTAATTCCATTTTTCTATGAACTTATAACATATAAAACACCTTCATATATTATCCATAAACTGCACTTTTTTTTTTTGGTAGCTGGCTGGCATGGTGGTCCAAACCTTTGACCTTGGTGTTATCAGCACCATATGAACTTATAACATATAAAACACCTTCATATATTATCCATAAACTGCACTTTTTTTTTTTTGGTGGCTGGCTGGCATGGTGGTCCAAACCTTTGACCTTGGTGTTATCAGCACCATACTCTACTGAATAAGCTAACTGGCAAGCCCAAACTGCACTTGTTTGAGTAAACTTTATTTGGAAGAATGATTAAGATGGCATTGTTTTGTTTTGTTTTTTTCAGATTACACCTTCTACATTGAAAATAAATATTAACTCTTAAATGTTTTAAACCAGATGAGTTTAGAGTTTGTTTTCTCCAATTTAGCAGGTGCTATTTCTCTGGAAGTCTGTGGGTAAGACCACGAATATGTCTGAGAACATATATAGAGTTGTCGTCTGAATGGGGCAAAGACAGAGCAATAGTTTCCAACAAGCAAACCCAATTGTGTTCATAACGAATCCTGGACAGCATAAGTAGTAGCTGGGAGAACCAGGAGAGTGATTGTGAAGAGAATGTTAAACTATTTTTTAAAAATAATTGGGTGGTTTGGTTGGGCCCTTCAAACCCGAAGAATTAGGTTACACAAAATCCTCTAACCTAGGATGACAGTATGAACACATCTGCCCTCTCATTCTTAAATTTGAACTCATTCAGCAAGGGAAGCAATTTTATCTCAATTCATAACTTTTATAAAAATAGAATAAGTACTTTTTATATATCTAAAAAGAAATAAGAAACTTACCAAACAATTCAAATATGATAGGATACTCACTAGTAAAAGTAATAATTTATTTATTAATCATTTATTAAGGGCCCACCAAGCTGCAGGCACTGTGCTAGGTTTTGCACAGACATTATGTCAAAACATTATGTAAAATTAGGTGGCAGTTTATTAGTATTTTTGTCCTTCTGCTAAAGCATTTACCTGTGTCCTTTACCTTTCTCAAGGTTAAGGATCAGCAATGATGAGATTTGGGTTCAGCCAGCCGTGGGATCATCCACACAGATTGAAGACAAAAAAGACATGTATTTATTTGAGCCTTAAAGTGATTAGAAATGGACGGGGCATGAGGTGGGGGCTGGAAGAAATCTTAGCTAGATGTGATTAAAAGAGAAAAGAGGACAAATGATCAGACTGAAAGTATGATACTGGTAAATGAGTGTCAAGAAGTAAAATAATCAGCCAACTAAGACGATCCAAAAACCAGTTTCTCCTGTCTGTTTAACTTGTACTTTGTTGTTCTTTGATATTTTTCTTCTTTTTTTTTTTCTCTCTTTTAACAGAATTGATAAAAAAATGTCTGGAGGCCAGAGTGGGTATGAACTTAGTGAAGCCAAAGCCATTCTAACTGAACTAAAATCTATCAGAAAGGCTATTAGCTCAGGAGAAAAAGAAAAACAAGATCTGATGCAGGTATGTTATAGAACTACTACCCTCCGAGTCCCCAGAAACTCTCCTTGAGCCACAAGTTCTCCATCAGAGTCTAGATGACTCTTTATTTCATCTGCTCCACTTATACAGAACTTGCCCCATAAGAGATTGTTACAGTACTAAGGCAACCTGGCTGCCTTGGAGGAGAACAGATTGGTTCCAAGCTTCTGATATGCTTGATGGAAGGCAGGCTTTGGATGTCCTTTGAGATAGTGGGTGGTAGATCCTGAAGCCCATATGCGGAGATTAGCATCTTGGCACATCGTGAAACTCCCTGAAAACTTCGTGAGGGACCCAGATAAGCAGGGTTCTCTAACCCAATGATTCTTAGCCCATGATACATAAAGAGTATGTCATCCATCATCAGTAGGTAAAGGGTATGTCTTTTGGGGGCGAGGCTCTGAGGAGTATAGAAAAGCTTATTTCTGATGCAGGTGATTCTAAGGTCCTAGCTAAGGGTGCGGTAGGGACTGTTGACCCAGCTAGGGAATGCATATACAGTTGATCTTGGAAGGCTGTCAGATATTGGTAGATCCCCTTGTTATATCTGTACAGATCGCAACTGGGTGTTAACTCCCAATGATACAGCCTCATGTGTAGAAAAAATATCTGTACTTATCAGATATAGTCAAGTTTTTTTTAAGGGTGTCTCTCTTCCTCTTCTTCTCTTTCCTTCATCCCATAATTATCATAAGCACTAAGAAATCTTAGTCCAGACATTTGGAGTTCTTTACCTAGCTGAGTAAGCATTTAGTCTGAATCTTTGCAGAAATGTTAGAGCCAATGGTGATGTTTGCATCCTTAATAGAACTTCTATGTTTAAATACTATATTCAACTACTTCATATTGGTTTTCAGAATGTTAGTTGAATATAAATATTCTTGGATCCACATATTTTTGCATGTTGGAAATTTTGGAATATCTTGCAGGAAGAGATCTGATAGAAAAGACAACAGTAATAATAGCAAATTCTTATAACTACCAACTTTGTGCCAGACACTCTTCTAACTGCCTTGCATATAAATAGTTCACTTAATCCTCACAAAAACCCCTAAAGGTAGTTACTATTATTGTCCTCAGTTTACAGACAAGGAAATTGCAACACAGAAAATTAAATAAGTTAAAGTCATACAGCTGGTAAGTAGCAGGACTGGGGCTCAAACTCAGGCTGTCTTGCTTCAGAATATGTGGTTTTATATATATATATATATGTAAAACACATACAAGACTTTAATTTGTGCCAGACACTCTTCTAACTGCCTTGCATATAAATAGTTCACTTAATCCTCACAAAAACACCTAAAGGTAGTTACTATTATTGTCCTCAGTTTACAGACAAGGAAATTGCAACACAGAAAATTAAATAAGTTAAAGTCATACAGCTGGTAAGTAGCAGGACTGGGGCTCAAACTCAGGCTGTCTTGCTTCAGAATATGTGGTTTTATATATATATATGTAAAACACATACAAGACTTTAACGATCAGAACATTGGAAGATCTGAGCCAGATTTGAGATCCAGTCCTGTGAACTCTCATTTATCTCTCTCCAGACAGACCCTTGATGCTGGGTCACAAACAAGCATTTCTGGAGATGTAAGTTATTTATGTCATAGGGGTGGCCAAGTGCTGTCCTTGGTAGGCCTTAATTACAACATGGATGGTAACCGGAACAGGAACTAGATGTGTGGTTTGGATTCTGCTGTGTACATTCAGTGTTTTATTCTAATGACATTGGTTTTAAAAATCATAGTGTTATCTTTTCTGTCTAGGTGCCAAGCATATCAGAATTTGTCCATACGAATAGCTTTGTTCAAAATTTCTCACACTGTTTCTTCAGAGACACTAATAAAAAGCTAGAGACACAGGAGAATGTAACTTTTTCCTGTTAAGTGTACAGTCTTGGAAATTCAGGTTCTTTCAAATAAACATCAAGGCTAGTGAGAAACAAAATATATACCTTTTAAAACTAACAAGAAAACTTGTTTTGTAAATCCAAAGTTGATTATACATATTAAAGTGATTATGATTAATATCTGACATTTGAAAATATTTAATGTGGCTTGAATATTATTAACTATTTTGCCTTCTCTTTTTGGGATGTCATTAGCAGGTATTTACTTTTGAATAACTTCCCAATTATTTTCATATTCTCTTATGCTTCTTTGAAGTATGTGTTATGAAAGTAAAACAGGTAGAGATCAACAGTAGGGCTTACCTGTTTGAAAATTAATTGTTGAAGTTATTTAGTTTATGTTTTGTACAGCCGAAAGCTAAATGGTGGAAATTTTAGCTCATAAAAGCAAAGAAATTAGTTCCAGTTCATAAATTTTATTGACCTGTACACCCTTCATAAACTCTTAGATACCAGACACATTTACCTGGTATTTTTGTCTTGAATTTAATGTGTGGAGAAAGTGATGTTAAAGTCTTTGAAAAACAGACAACCTCAAATTAAAAGAAATGTTTTGCCCCTACTGTGACGATAAAGTAAGTTCCTTTCTAAGCTGTTCTCTCCCAATTTCTGTATCATCTTCTTTAGCTTTCCAATTACTTGTACTTCCTAGAAACAAAAGCAGTTTACTTCATTCATTAGCAGAGTTAATTGACTTTTTTCCTTTTGTTTTTTACTAGATTGGAGTGAGAAGTAGATCAAATTTAGCTGAAAAGGTCAGGCTGAGCCTACAGTATGAAGAAGCCAAAAGAAGGTAATCACAGAGAAGCTGTTTTGTTCATGGTCAGCAGCCTCAAACATTATTTTCTTTTCCAGAGTTAATCTTTACTCCTGTGGTGACATCTGCTGGTCACTCCCCACACTTTCTACCAAGGTTACCCTTGTTTTTTTTTAGCATATAAGGATTGCTTCCTCTCTCACCTCTCTTTCTCTTTCCCCCTCCCCTCAAAGCTGAGGAACAGGGAGAATTAATGGGGATGTTTCTCTTCTGGAAAATAAAAAAAAAGCTTTGAGCTTGTGCAATACTTACTCCCAATTAAAAGTGAGAAGATTGATTTCTCAGATGGAAACATGATACAATGGCTCAGGTACAGGACTTAATAGCTGTTGAGGATTTCTAAGGTAAATGTCTTTAAGCATGTTCCTTTGCTTTGAAGCAGAATCTTACTTCTAATGTCCTTGAAGGTGCTGAGGTGTCTGTTCCAATTGACTTACTTCAGGGAGAAGAAAGAGGGAGTCTTAATTCTTTCCTTTACCTTGTCAACTCTTATTAACCTTTGTGCTGTCTTTTTCTTACTCTGTGACTCTGCTGGGGTAAGGCATAAGAGACTTCATTGTCCTTACCTAGTAGATAGACTCGAATTGTTTTCATAATATAGAACACCTTACTTATTTTGAGAGAGGGGGTTAAAAATGCTATTAGTTTATTATGTCGGAGACATTGGGAGACACTGCATTATCACCCTGCAGGAGGCATTTGTCACGTTCCTCCCAGGCGCATGAAAAGCTCAGCTTAGAAGCTACTAGAGTGTCATGGTTTCATTCCATAAGGAAAACCATCAGATATTGAAGTGTATCCATTATTATAGATGATAATAATTTAAAAGTAATTGGCCATAGTTCTTAGAGGTTATCTGACTTTAACAAAATAAAACAAATGTGATATTTGCCTCTGTGTAACCTGTGTTCCTAATATTACTTGGTTGTTCAATTTACTGAAAGAAACCTAAGCTCTGTTTCACAAGTCATTAAACATGTGAACTTGAGCAAGTCAGTCATTCTGAACAATTTACTCAGCTAATTTTAATGCCTTTGAATTTTCCCTTTGAAATTTTAAAATTCAAATTTCTTGAGGTTAAGAAACATGTTGTATGGGCCGGCCCGGTGGCGCACTGGAGAGTGCGCCACTTGGGAGTGTGGCGGCGCTCCCGCCGAGGGTTCGGATCCCACGTGGAGACTGGTTCCCGCTCACTGGCTGAGCGCGGTGCGGGCGCAACACCGAGGGTTGCAATCCCGTTGCCGGTCCCCGGTACAGGCGTGACACCAAGGATTGCGATCCTGTTACCGATCAGTAAAAAAGACAAAAAAAAAAGAAAGAAACATGTTGTATACTTTATTATCTCCTTCTCAGTGCCCAGACTGGTGCCTTGCCTTCAGTCAATACTGACTGATTTGTGGTTTGTGGGCCGGTGATGTGCAAGCTTCTGGTGGATGTTACTCAGGTTGTCTTGCTGTGAGCCCACGTGCCAACCCCAGCAGCCAGAATTCCTGGGTTCTGCTGTGGACAAAGCTCAGGATTTAAGTCTGATTTTCTGAAGGAGAATGGCCATAACTCAGAATTAATCTCAGAGAACCAGGCATTGTGCCCTTGGATTCTTTTGGGCTTCACTCTGCTTCATTTCCTCTGATCAGCTTGAGCTTTTGCTTTACTTTGACTAACAGTTAATTCCACCTGGAACTCATACAGCATTTCTCTTCCTGGGTGCTCCAAAGTCGTCTTCATATTCTGTTCCCCATATTTGGCATACCCTTTCTAATATAAAACTCAAGACCTACCTAATGCCTGATCACACAAGGAATAAATAGATGCCTTTTGTTCCTGCATTATGTTGTTGCTCCCAGTTCGATTGGTTATTTTGGTCACATAAAACTTAAGATGTTGACCTTTCCCATTTGGGTGCACTGCTGTACCATTTGGGGCTTTATTTTAAAGTTACTAGTGAGGCCGACAAGAAAGTAAATCTCAGGGGCTTGTGTATATGTTGAAAATGTGTTTTCTTCCTCAATTCTGAGTAAAGAGGTGGGTTGTATTTCTCTGAAACCTATTTTCTCCTCCAGCCTTTGTTTTATGTACTTAATGAAGCTAATAATATCATGCTTATTTAGCATTTTGATGATTAATTTTCCAGTACTTTGAGATAATTGTTTATGGTTTTGTGGTTAAAGCTGAAGAATAGCCGATGTTACATCTATCATAAGTGTAGACAGTGGGTGGAAATCGGAAGTATACTACATATGCAGTTCTGACGTAAGATGGCAATTTTATTTTTAACTAAAATTAGAAAAAATGGCACAAGGATCAGGATCTGATTCCATCTTTGTTCCTGATTTTGTTTTTTGTTCACTTTTTTTCTTCCCTCCTATAATTTCTTCCATCAAAAAGAGAAAAAAAAAAAATCCCCCTTTTCTGTCTTTTTTATATTCTGGTGGATGCTGTAACAATCTACAAAGTAATCATCCAGCATTTTTTATAGGAACGTAGATTCCTTGTGCCAACATCAGTTGTTCAGTTGTGTTCATAGTCTACTTTGGTCTTGTGCGTGTGGTCAAAAGAGCCATGTGCCATTTACTTTGTAAGCAGTCCTCTTCACATTGCCACAGAGCAAGTTACTTGATTCAGGTGGTCAGGATATTCATGTTGAAGCAGAAGTTAGGTTAACTTTATCAATTACTGTGGAGTTCTAGACATAGTGAAACCTGAGTCAGGCAAAATTATGAAACCAGTGAAGTCTGCCTTTGGTGCTTTTTCCTCCTCCTCCTCTCATCCCTGTCCCCTTCACTTCAGCACCTGTTGTCACTCCAGTGGTGCTGCGCCAGCTGCCTGTGCTGGTGAAGGCCCGCTGTGTGCCATTCACTCCCATACAGCCAAATAAATGTATACAGAGGACCCCCAGGTCAAAGGCAGTAACGTCTGAAGTGCCAGTGCAGCAGATGCTCAGCCAGTGCACACACCGGTCCAGGCCCTGATAGAGAGTGGCTGGTGGTGGGAGGAGGCCAAGCCCTGCCCCATTCTCCTTGGAGATGGTAGGGCCTTGATGGGTTGACTTTGTTTAGTACCAGTTCGCCAAGACACCACTCTCTTTATTCCCCCTCTTCCTTCCCTAACTTGCTAATACCCTGGTCTCTGCCCAACTTGCCCTGGGGATTACCATTTTAGTAGGGGAAAACATCTTTATCCAGAGGAATGAAATCTCTAATAATGGCATTCCACATATCATTTACCTCTGTTTCTTAGAGGGAAGCCCTGTAGGTATCTCTCCCATCACCTCACACAGGCAGTCACACAGCAGGGCTGTCCTGCCCATGGCCCCTGGAGCAGTTTTTGAAGCTTCTGTGTACTTGACCTTTACCCTTTTGTCAGATAGGTAGATGTACTCACTCATATTTTAAAGGTGGGGATAATGAAGTGGATGACAGCTGAGTGTGGTTTCAGGCTCAGACACTGGGTGCAGGGCTGCTGCTGTCACTCTAGCCTCTCCCCAGGGGGCCATACCCTCTCTGTAAGGCCCAGTCAGGAAAAGCTGGATAGCATTCGAACCCCTAACTTAGCCTGATTCATATTTACCTTTCTCAGGAATTCTAATATGTGCATGCCTCTTTTATCTCTTTATTTTAGCATGGCAAACTTAAAAATTGAACTGTCAAAACTGGACAGTGAGGCCTGGCCTGGGGTGCTGGATATTGAGAAGGAGAAACTGATGCTGATTAACGAAAAAGAAGAACTTTTGAAAGAGCTTCAGTTTGTCACTCCACAAAAACGCACACAAGATGAATTGGAACGCCTGGAAGCTGAGAGGCAGCGGTTGGAGGAAGAGCTGCTATCCGTGAGGGGGGCACCGAGCCGAGCTCTGGCCGAGAGGTTTGTTTTCCTCCTGGGAACAGACCTTGTGGTGTGCCTTAGCTGTATGCCATTTTCCCTGGGTTTGGAAATTGCATCTGTTCTTAGTGGACTGAGAAACAGCACAAAAGGACTTTCTTTCTGTAGAGCAATAAAGCACACTCTAATGCCCTGCAGTATCAGTTCTTCTCTGTTTGTTAGGAACGTGAAAATGCCTGTGACAGATGTTGAATGACTAAGGAATGTTGACATAAAACCAGGAATGCAGTCCATCATTGACCGAGTCTGATAACAATAGCTATAAACTACTGCACTCTGATAAGAAAGATTATCTAGACTGTTACAGCACTGAAGCTTCCTATTCTGGGTTTTATTACCCACAAGAATGCGAAAGTTTATTGCTTTTCATTTCATAAGGAAAAGACAACTTGCTCCCTTTGATATCCTAACAGGTCACATAATGTTCACTTGGATTTTGTCTATCTGTTGAAACCCTCCTCTGAAGCAGGTGAAATTGTAAAGGAAAATAAGCAATTTTCTAATCTTTCTGTGGGAACATGTAAGTTGACTATTTAATCTAAAAAATCTGGTTCTGTAAACAGATCAGCTGGAATATTAAGCAAGGAAACCGCTGTCAGTTTGACATAAACCTATCTGCATAGGGGCACTATTTCCAGGCCCTGCTGGCTGATGTGTTCGGACACCTATTCCAGGATAGACTGGAGCCCTTTAGAACCTCTGCATATCCATCCTCAGGCCTGCAAGTAAGGAGCAGTGCCTGTCCTAAAATGACAGGAAGGAAATTCACATTGGTATAATTTCAAGGGACTGGAAGTAAATTTAAAATACACAGCCATAATCCCGTTGCAAGGAGCAGTGCCTGTCCTAAAATGACAGGAAGGAAATTCACATTGGTATAATTTCAAGGGAACTGGAAGTAAATTTAAAATACACAGCCATAATCCCGTTGCTTTTTTTTTTTTTAATTCTTGGCTTCTTGCCTTCTAATTCCTTGTCCTCAATAAATGTCTAAGGTTGTGTGCCTGCATAATATCAAAACATTTTAAAAATGTAAGGAGGAAGGAAGAAAAACATTTCTGATATTCCCAGTGAGGTATTGGCATATGGATTCGCCCACCCTGACTTTAACCATTTGGGGAGAGTTGACTTTTGTGAATTAGAATGTAGGTCAAGATAATATGTAGCTACAGCATTATAGCTTTGGGGAGCACGAAAAGGTACGAGAAGAAAAAGCCTCTTCAGAACACCTTCTTTTACAGTCTTAAATAATTCTCATCATTGCCCCTGTATCCTCTTCCTTTCTTTCCCTCTTGCTCTGACTCCTTCGTCTAGTGGGCGTAAGGGTCAGCCTAAAATAGGTGTGAGCAAGGCTGCCAAGTAGGAATCCACCTGACAGAGATCAGAAGGAACAGGGAGTGAGGGTGAGAAGGCCAGGCAGAAGGAGATTCCTGAATTGCCCTGGACGTTATGTCTGTATTTGTGTGCCTTCATGGTTCAGGATAGAAGTTTCGTAGTCATCAGTAAATATGATGAAATGGGTAGCTTTTGTGCGGCCCTTGTATAAAACCCCAGTGATATTTTGTGTGTTGTGTAGCACTTAATAAACGTTATATGATCATACATGTCTAATGTGCCGAGTCCATCTCAGCCATTCTACTTTGTCATAGGCAAATCTGGGAAGGGCCTGCAAATAAGCCTTTAGATTTGTTCTGGGAGAGAGATAAAACACATTTGTTTGTTTGCTTACACCTTTTACAGGTGTGGTGTCTTGCTTGTCTTTTTTATTAGGGATAGAGCTTCCAAAGGATGGCTAATGAAGTAACATAGTAACATTAAAAATATAGTTTGTTCCTAAGTGCCTCAAGTTTAGCTCTTATGCTTTTGTTTGCACATACCTAATAACTGTCAAAATTCCAGCAGAAGCAATAGGCTCGAACTCATCAGGAAGAGGAGCTATAACATACTTATATAAAATAATTACACGTTTAGTGAGATCCAGCCATGGGGTTTGTGTGATACACTCTTATGCTTTTGTTTGCACATACCTAATAACTGTCAAAATTCCAGCAGAAGCAATAGGCTTGAACTCATCAGGAAGAGGAGCTATAACATACTTATATAAAATAATTACACGTTTAGTGAGATCCAGCCATGGGGAAATAAGTAGTGTGAATATGCCCTCTAACTTGTGAGGCCTACATGGCCCTGTCTCCCACGACTGGACGTTAGCCGGAAGGGAAATGTGTATATTTTATATTTGTAATATGTTGACTTTCTTAGTCATTTAGAAGAGTCAAGTCATTTAGTATTCCAAATAAATGAATGCTAATTTTCTTTCCAAAGTTTGTGGCCAAAGGTAAATCCCCATAGTGAGCACTCACTATGAGTGAGTGCTCCCTCAAGTGAGCACTGAGTTTTATTTCCCAAGTAGACAGAACATCACAGGGCTTTGGGTTTTGTTGTTGTTAATGGTTTTGCATTATTCGACCATACTCTGTCACTTTTTCTTACTCTTCACTCTTTATTGTTTCTTCCTACTATATATGTATATTTCTACTCTGCTTGTTGCTGCTGTTGAACTGAAACCGGGTCCTTAGAAGGTAAGAATTCCTTTGCAAGCAGTGTATTTCCTCGGTGTTAAAGCGTGGCAGGAGGTACTTCTGGAAAGTAGGATTCACTGTGTGAAACTTAGCTTCATCCTAGAACAAATCGTGCTCCACCAATACCAGATCCCTCATTTTCTTCTTGGTACCTACATGACTATCAAAGAAGGCTACTTGCTGCATTCCCCCCCAAATTTTCTTGTTTTCCATTTGTGTTGTGGGTTCCTCATTATTATCAGGGTGACCTATGGCAAGATTCTGAGTCACTACTGAATTTTGGTCTCTGCAGGAGCTGAGCTGACGTGAATTTTCAGTCACTATATGTGATCATACAGCCCCCAGCTCTGTTCCGTCTCTGCTGTACAGCAGTGTCACGAACTTGGCCTGATAGCAGTGACTGAGCTTGCCACCTTGTGATGGTAAAGCACATCAGAAAATGAGAGATGCTGACTGTGAGAGATCAGGAGGTCAAAAGAGAAATTGCTCTCATGTGAAAAAAGTAATGCCATTTAGGTCTTTTTACATGTCTTCCACATTCTTTCCATATACTTACTGAGATTCCTTAATCTCTGTGCTGTGCTACAGCTGGTAAGATCTTAACATTGCTCCTTATTTTCTCACAAATTTTAGGGGGTTTGCCTTGTAATTGCCAAGATGTCTTAATTGTTTCTTAATTATTTGGATGTTTTTGCTACTGCTTCTGAAAAATTTTTAAAAGCAAGGTGGGTAGGGATATAAGTGTCATTTATTTTTTAATGGAAAAAGGACTTCTCACTTCTGTAGATGACATGAATTATTCCGTAGGTGTAAAGATGCAGTGCTTTCTCCCTTAGGGCACCAGGGGCAGAGGTAGAAGGATATGAAGCCCTTCGCATTGCAAAGGGCAGCTGAAAGGGTGGCATGGAGCAGCAGGACCAGGGGGAAGAATCTTTGAGGGGCCAGTTCAAAAAGACCCATTCTTACCTGAGAGACTAGAAGACAGAGCTTGGGAAATAGCTCAGAGAGATGCATATGCACCCTTTTCAAAGGGCTGATGTCAGCAGTTTCTTCCAACCCCTGTTCCAGAGGAAGGTGGTGAGGTTGTTTCCTAGGAAGGACACCTGGAATCTGAGGAAGACTTCCAGCTCTCACTCAGAGGCTCTGGTGATTACATGAGAGACAGTCTGCTGCCCCACCGGAAGGGTTTGTGTGACTGTGGTGTTATGGCTACTGTCACATCCTGCTTACAGCACCAGTTGTCTAGCTCTTAATCCTGTTCGTGACACCAATTGTAAAGCTAGGCAACCACGTTAGTTGTCCCAGCTCTTTTACCTGCTGGTAATCTTGTGCCGACTGGGCCAATTGTCGAGCTAAGTAAATATGGGCATGTTTCCTTACTGCCTAAAACATACATAACATTTCAAAAGAGGTTGGAAATTAGGGAAATTTTATTTTTTTCTCCAAAGAAAAGTGGTTAATTTTTATATCACCACCTTGCAGGGCATGCTGAGGCTTTGAACAAATAAGATTTGTTTTTATCGTCTGTAGAGCACTTTCACATACATCACTCCATTTGATCCCTTTTACAGCCTTACCAGGTAGACACAGGAGGATTATAATCACTATTTTACAGATGAGAAGGGTGAGACCCTTGCTTAAGTATACGCAGCTAGTAAGCAGCAAATCCAAGACTAGAGACCGTTGATGTGCTTTTTCACAGTCCCATTCTACTGCTCCCTTGACTGCTCTGAACTGGCTTATTTCAGTGATGTCCAGGGACCTTCAGATGACATATTATGCTTGTGCACGTTCTTAGTTGCATAAACCCTGGGGTACTTGACATATTTAAAAGTAACTTATTTTTCAAGTATACAATTCCGTAACACTCAATTTTTAAAAAACTCATCTAAAGTTTTGCAGTTGAATGTGGATGAAATTTTATGGTAGTCTGGTGCAGGTAATGTGCTGTAGCTAGGAAAGGAAATCCCTCTTAGGTCTTCCTATTGTTTGAATAGTTAGACCCAAATTAACCCACAACGATAATACAGACTAACATTTTCCTTAATCTCTAAAATTCTCAAGAAATTAGGACTGGAATTTTCATCACCAAATATTATTTTGTAACAACGCTTACTAAATTCAGAACTTATGATGACCTTTTATAATTCTTTATTTTTACTGTCAAATATTTTAGTAATGTGAACCAGAGTTACAGACCTACATAAGGATTCTATAGCCTTTGGTTAGGTTTTGGTTGTCCTTATTGTTTTCCTCCTCACTATTATACTCTTCTAACTAACAGGACCATATTCTTTACCCATTTAAGAAAATTTTAGACTAGCAACATTTTTAAATTCTCAGTATCACTGGATATTGGGCATAAATCTCACCCTTCATTTAGGCTGGCTGGTGCAGGTCCGCCTGTTGCCTCTTGCTGGTTGTCCTATTTTCTCTCTGTTGAGTTCATTTGGATCTCCCCCTCATTATATGTAATGTTGGTGTAATAAGAATCTTTCTTTTGGGCCGACCCCATGGCTCACTCAGGAGAGTGTGGCGCTGGGAGCACAGCAGCGCCGAGGCCACAGGTTTGGATCCTATATAGGGATGGCCGGTGCACTCACTGGTTGAGGGTGATGCGGGCGACACCAAGCCAAGGGTTACAATCCCCTTACTGGTCACAAAAAAGGAAAAAAAAAAAAAAAGAATCTTTCTTTTAGTTTTTGTGTTTTATCATAATCATTTGAAAATAAATTAATTTGTGTGTTTTTCTCTAGATTGAAATTGGAGGAGAGAAGAAAAGAGCTGCTACAGAAACTTGAAGAAACTACTAAATTAACTACTTATTTGCATTCACAACTTAAAAGGTAAGAATATTAGGATCTCAAGAGGAAAATTTTTCTCTGACCACATTCAGGCATGTTCTAGTTCATCTTTGGTTACTTTTCACCTTATTTTCAACTATTTAACACTAAATAAAATAGTTATAGTAGACAATTAATATTTGAGTGATCAAATTTAAAGTCACATAGATTTTTTTTCATGAACCCCAAGGTCATATTTGGAGTACATTGGAAATATGTTGTAGGAAGAAGATAGATTTTTAGCTATCAGTATACACTTAGGAATATAATACATTTCTCTCATTACTCCATCTTTTAAAAAGGGAGGGTGGGGAAGATTCATCTAAAAATTGTTAGTCATAGATTTTCTTATGTTAGAAAAATGTTTACTCCTTACATTCATACACAGAGAAGAGGAAAGGTGAGTGAACTCAGGGTTTTTTTGTGAACATTTTTGTTTTTACAAGCTTAGCTTTTTTTTTTCTCTAAAGGTTTTTTTGGTTTGTTTTTTGTTTTTTTATGCAAAGTAACTACATTGACACTTTGTACTGTTCATTCTTTTTTTTTTTCTCCCAATTTATTTTAATTGCAAGGTTGCTTCTGGATATCTATGCAGTAGACTTACCAATAATTACTTGATCCTTTCTTTTTTAAACTTTTACAAAGGAAGGATCATTTTTAACAAGAGTAGAATTGCCACTTAAAGAGTATTTGGAGAGAAAGGTTGAAAATGTTAGTGAATAAACATGAAAATGTGTGGTATAATAGCAAGTTCCTCTGCCCCTGGTTATTGATTCTGTTCTTTGTCTGAAGGAGCTGGTAGGGGTTGTGATTGGGTTTTCCATGTCATAATGGATTTTACAGTGTGTGCTTCTCTTCTCTCAGCCTGTCCGCCAGCACCCTGTCCATGTCTTCTGGGAGCAGCCTGGGCTCCCTGGCATCCAGTCGGGGCTCTTTGAACACCTCCAGCAGAGGGTCACTCAACTCTCTAAGTTCCAGTGAGCTCTATTACAGCAGTCAGGGTGATCAGATAGATGTGGATTATCAGTATAAACTGGACTTCCTTCTTCAAGAGAAAGGTGGTTACATTCCTTCTGGACCTATCACCACCATTCATGAAAACGAGGTGGTCAAGTCCCCCGGGCAACCTGGCCAGCCTGGACTCTGTGGGGTGGCAGCCGCAGCAACAGGCCACAATCCTCCACTGACCGAGGCCCCCAAGTCTGTGACGTCCCTATCCTCAAGGTCCTCCCTTTCTTCCTTGTCCCCTCCTGGTTCTCCCTTGGTATTGGAAGGCACGTTTCCCATGTCTTCTCACGAAACCTCTCTCCATCAGTTCACTGCTGACTTCGAAGACTGTGAATTGAGTAGCCATTTTGCAGACATTGGCCTTGGTGAAAATCAGATATTGCTGGATTCTGATTCAGGAGGAGCATCCCAGTCTCTTTTAGAGGATAAAGACCTTAACGAATGTGCTAGGGAACCATTATATGAAGGAAGTACAGGTAAATGGAGACCTTTGCTTTCATATATTCCCTCTTAATTATTTTTAGGAGAATGACTGGAAGGTTACTTTTTCCGTATAAACAAATGGTAAGTCCTCTGTATTATTCCACTTCTGTTGCTTATGACAAAATACCTGAAATTGGGTGATTTATAAGAAAATGAAATTTATTGTTTACAGTTTCGGAGGCTGGGAGGTCCAAAGTCCAGGGAACACATCTGGTGAGGGTCTTCCTTGGTGGTGGTTTCAGTGACACAGGGTATCACATTGCGAGATGGCAGAAGCAGAGAGAGATAACTCCTCCTGCACTCTCCTTTTAGAATCCTCAGAACCATGCCCACAACCACCATTAAGTCATCAACTTAATCACTTCTTCAAGACCCCCACCTTTCAATTACCATAATAGGATTTCCTACCCTCTCAACACGGTCACAGTGAGGGCCAAATTTCCAATACCTGGAACTTTGGGAGACACAATTTAAGCTTCAGTGAGTTTGGGGGGTGGGGGGGAGACATTCAATCCATAGCATTCACCCCTGACCCCCAAAACTCATGTCCCTTTCACATACAAATATATTCATTTTGTCCCCAAAGTTTTAACTTGTTTCAACTCAAAAGTACAAAGTTCAGAGTCCCATCTGTGGAGTCAAAACAAGTTATCTTCTGCCAAGATACAATGGTGGGACAAGTATAGGGTACATATTCCCATTCAAAAAGGGAGAAATAGGCTAAAAGAATGGGGTAAAAGGTCCTAAACACGTCTGAAACCCAGCAAAGCAAGGCATTAAATCTTACAGCTTGTAAATCATGTACTGTGATTCCATGTCCGACATCCTCTGAACACTGGTGCAAGGCTTTGGTCCCCAAGTCCTCCAGCAGCTCTACTCCTCTGGCTTTCCTGGTCTGAGGCCACATTTCAGCTGTCCCAAGCTGGCGTTGCATGTTGGTAGCTCCATAGTTCTGGGGTCTCCTTGGTGGTCTTGCTCCCACAGCTCCACTCAACACGGCACTGATGGGGTTAATCTGCTGCAACTCTGTCTCCTCATTTCCTCTCAGCATTGCTCTAGTGAAGGCTGTAAAGGCTGTACTGTCCCTATGACAGATCTTTTCCTGGGTCCAAAGGCTTTTCCATCACCCTTTTCTTCCTTCTGAGCGTGCATTTTAGCTTCATTTTATTCATATACCTAGCCATTTTTTCATTATCAAATAAAAATTGGCTTCCTAATTTAATAGATTTAATCATTAAGTACCTGTTCTGTTGTCCAGGGACCCTCTGTCGTGTGGTAGCTGACTGGGAACACATTTTCTGAACATACTTTGTACTTCCATATAGATTCTGGGTCTGAAATAGCAAGGCAAAGGAGGCTTTCTTTTAAAAGTTGGCCTAAAACGTTATAACCAAGGCAATTAGCATACCAGCTAATTAGTACCAAGGTTCAGTGTTTAGATTACTTAGGGAATTCTATATAAATACAATTTTTGTTTCATGCCAGACTCTCCCTTTCTGCCTAGTTAATTTGGAGAAAGCAGGTTCCAGTGTATGGTATTACCCTGCCATCTTCTGGCAACATTAATAGTTGCAGCCCAAGGAACTATTGCAACAGATTAAAGTCTCACTCCTACATTTGTACTTAAAGAGACAGAAACAAGGAGAATTTCATTTTTTTGGTTGTTTTTCCCTTTGCAAGGCAGAAACTTTAAATGTATTAGATATGGTTTTAAAGAGTGCAAGATGGTACCCTTGTTGGCAAATGATCACCATTGTGGTCTGAGGAGGAGGATTTATTTAGAGCCGGCTTGAGGCAAAATGTGGAATAAAAGCTCCAGGAGTCCTGTTCAAATCTACACGTGTTACTGTTTGTCCCACCACACAGAAAAGGAAAGGCCTCTCTAGAAGCTTTTTGTGTGTGTGTGTAAAGTCCTAGGAATTCTAAGTGCTAATTGGTTGCCCAACTCTGATGTCTAAAGATATAGATGAATCCAACTTGTTTGGGGAAGTCTGAAATGTGGCCTGGAGCAGAAGTAGGGTATGAGACTTTGGTGTGGTTTGTGTGCCCCCTCCTGGAGAGGTGCCCAAGCTACAAGTAATGAGTGCAAATAATCAACGAAAATAATCAATCAAAGAAAATAAGCACCGGAGTGCTGTGTACAGAATGACTCCAACAAAGCAGAAAGCCACTCTGGGGCCTCACCTCTGCTTCAGGGAAGGAACGCAGTGTGTGGCAGGGTCATGCCACCCCTGGAGCCAGCCAAGCCTGAACTCAGAATTTGGTCACCACTTTGGCTGGCTGTGTTTTGTTTTGTTTTGTTTTGGTGGCTGGCCAGTATGGACTGGCTGGCTGTGTTTTGCTGAGCACATTACCTGCTGCTCTCAGGCTTGTTCATCATCTGCAAAATGGGGATGATACAGTAATCCTTGTCATGTACTGCGAGGATTAATGCCATAATATATGTAAAACATCTCACCATGTCTGGCACTTGGTACTCAGTTCTGTGTGACAATGACATTGATGAATAATACAAACCGCTAAACCCAGTTCCCACCATAATTCATTGAAAGTTATGAGAAGAAGTAGGAACAGGTGAAAGAGAAGAAAGTGGAGTGTTCTTCGTGCCATTCTTCTGAGCTTTAGACTTGAAGGGTCTTACATTTCTTGAACATTTCATGCTATTTTTGCTCTTCATGTATTTGGAGTGTTCTCTAGTGACCACTGCTCAACAGTCAATCAATATGGAGGGGCCAGTAAGTGAGGCCAGTGCTGGAGACGGGGGAGGGATCAGTGAAAAAAATCACCCAACGTCTGTCACCCATCCAGGGATCCGGAGGCCCAGAGGTCCCTATCCTGCAAGCATCTTTGGCCCATGCCTTCCTCCTGGCACTTGGTCTGCTACTGGGTCTGAGAAGTTTGTGGCTGGTGATGGGTGTTACTGAACCTTCCATGAAACAGTTTTTAACTTTTTTTTTGGCAGCTGGCTGGTTCTGGGATCCACACCCATGAACTTGATGTTCTACAGCCATACTCTAACCAACTGAGCTAACTGGCCAGCCCAGTTTTTAACTTTTTAAATGCATATTATATTAGAAAACTGCTGTTAAAAAGTTATCCTAAGTGAGAATACATCCAAGAGCTTTGTTCAAAGATAATATTCAGTTGCATGTTTGAAAACAACTAATCAATGGCTTGGTCTATGACATCTGCTTAGTGCATGGGGGTGAGTGGCTTTCTGCCAGGGACACTGTTCATCTCTCAGGCTCTAGAGTCTTAGGCAGGGGAAGTCAAGCCCCTTTTATATAAACTTGCCTCTCCAGCACCAATCCCTGCCTGATGACAGAAAGCAAGTTGGAATAACTATGAAGGCCTTCAACAGTCAGTCTCTGTCATTGTCAAAGTCAATTTCAGGCTGCTGTGGTTATTCCTGGGGATAATCAATAAATCATGTCATCACCTTCACCTCTCACAAAGGGGGGTGGGCAGAGAGAAGGCACTTCATCATCACAGAAAAAGCATTCCTACTGCCAGAAATAAAAGGGAAAATGCAGCAATCAATCCTGTAATCTAAAGCCTTAAAAGTTAAACATCTTAACAAGATGTAAAGTCACGACTCAGAAGGGGGCCAAAATGCATACCAATACTGATCCTGGCTCCAGGATGAAAGGACTCCACAGGCTTACAGCTTATTACAGGACAGAACACAGCTTTAAATGAATGCTCCTTGCTCGCTGTGGGATGCTGCCATATGAATATGAGTTAGAGATAAAAGTAAAGTGGTAGTTGGTGCTAAAGATTCAGTAGCACATAAAGTTTTTAAAATGATATTAGCAAGTGGGGAGTTCCCATCAAAATCTTTTTCTTTTTTTTTTTTTTTTAATTTGTGTTAGAGTAGTAGCCCAGGAGATGGAGAGTATAGCCTGTGGAGAGAAGGGCAGAGCAAAAGAGGTACAAACCTTTCTTTGCATTGAGTGGCTAGAAGCTATAACAGAAATATCTCTAGTACTGGCAAGAGGCAGGTAGCTTCTTACCCCTGAGTATATGGTAACTGCAGTGAATGCTTGGAAGAAAAAGGCTGGGGACCAATTTGCATTGAGTGGCTAGAAGCTATAACAGAAATATCTCTAGTACTGGCAAGAGGCAGGTAGTTTCTTACCCCTGAGTATATGGTAACTGCAGTGAATGCTTGGAAGAAAAAGGCTGGGGACCAAGGAGAATTTGTGTAATTCATCCCTTCCCTGAAAATATTTCAGGACAAAGGAAAACCATATTTTTTCCCAAATAATGACTGAAATAAACTGGCATCTCAGGAATCTTACAAATCTTAGTGCCTTGAATTGTCCATGTCTGTTGATTTGAATAGTAACATACTTGACTCTCAGAAGGAAGTTTTATTTTAGGTTTCTCATGACCAAACTGTGTATATATTTTATATTTAACTTTTCCTATTAAGAAACGCTAATTAGTGCTGTCACTCTACCCTCTTTAGATGTGGAAAAATCACTACCAACAAGAAGAGTGATCCATTTGCCTGGGGAGAAAACCGCTTGTGTGTCAGCTGCTGTATCCGATGAGTCTGTGGCTGGAGACAGTGGGGTCTACGAAGCTTTCGTGAAACAGTAAGGATTCAGCAGGAGTGCTGTTTAGCTACATCATAGTCCTCATAGCAATGCATGCACGAATACTTGCATGTACTGCTACCATTAGTCTGCTCTCTGCAGTAGTAGGGACTTTAGCTGTTAATGATATGGTGTGCCTGAAACTTCAGTATACCAAAAATGTCCCATTGGCTGTGGAAATGATAAACAGATTGGTATACTCAGAGGCAATTCACCCTCTCTGAGAGTTAAAAAACTTGATTTTAGTGGGAATGTTGGAGTGATTCGCCAGTGCCTGTGTGGCACATGCAGCTTCTCATGTGTATTTCTGAAAACCTGGACTGTCCTTAGTAAGGCTTAGTAAAGTCAGACATCAGAAAGTTTTTTCCTACAGGCAGACTTTTCTTGAAAAGGTAAAGAAAGCCTATAAAACAATCAGTTTTCACTGGGATCAGTTCCACTTGGATAATATTTCAGTGCTGTTAATTCAGGTTTTCACTCAAAATCATTAAGTGGTAAACACTTAAAGTAACCATAACAATCAATATCCCCATTAATTAACTGTTCACCTACTCCCTGTCTCTAGGTCTAGCGAAATAGAAGATGTTACATACAGTGAAGAAGATGTGGCCATTGTGGAGACTGCCCAGGTGCAGATAGGACTCAGGTAAAGGCATGTGCATAGGGGAGAGGAGCAATGCTAGAAATATATGCAGTGACAAGTAGCCTGTGGTTACTCCTTATTTCATTCAGCTTCTCTTTTGACAGATATGATGCAAAAAGTTCAAGTTTCATGGTGATTATAGCACAACTTCGAAATCTTCATGCTTTCTTGATACCTCATACTTCAAAAGTGTAAGTAAAATCAGTGAAAAACAAACAAATTGAGGAACTTAAAAATTTCCACATAAGATAATGTTGCATTGTAATCAGGCAAATGAAATCATCAAAATGAAGATATGTAAAAGACAGCCGGCTGATGATGTTCTAAATCAGCAGTAGATAAAGATGAAGAGAAAAGGAAGATGTGAAAAAGTCATATTGGTCCTTATTCAACTGATTCATTATCAAGAATGGGAACCAAGGCTTTTTTCTGACCAGAAATTATGTATTATGCTGTGGTGTTGGGGCCTAATTGTTTGAAATATGATTAAAATTATTGTTATTGTGTAATAGTTACTATTGTTTGTTTAGAGAAATTTTCTGATCTTTTATATGAAAATGTAGCGATTAACTTTTTTTTTTGGTGGCTGGCCAGTGTTGGGATCTGAACCCTTGACCTTGGTGCTATCAGCACCACACTCTAACCAAGTGAGCTAACCAGTCAGCCCATATAGTGATTAACTTTAACAGTACAACATTGCCCATCAAACATTTTATCATGCTGTATGTTAGTGTGTTTCTATCATCAAGCATTCACTTCCCTTTAACCAATAATTTCTTAAAGTTATTTCACTTTATGTCACTTCATCAAACCAAGAATCCCAACAAAGTGATGGCCTAATGCTACAAAGTCCATTGTTTAGGGTCTGCTTGTTTCCTAACAGATATTTCCACAGATTTTTACCACCATTCACACTCTTGAGAGTCAGAGTTTCAGTGACTTTCTTACGGGCTTGTGGCTGGAAAGTAGCAGAAAGAAGCCAGATTTCAATTTAGCACCTCCGACTTAGAATCCAGAATCTGTGTGTCCATCCTGCATTTAAACTTTCCTGTAAGAGACAGATCTTAATGGTATTTTGAATATGGCAGTACAAGGGCTTGGAAATAAAAAAGACATAATGAGTGATGATCCCTGAGGCTCTATACCCAGTCAGCTGGACATTTTCCTTACTGATAGAGTATATTCCTCAATAAGAAGGACTTTTAATGTGATTAATGTAGCGAATCCAGAATCTGTGTGTCCATCCTGCATTTAAACTTTCCTGTAAGAGACAGATCTTAATGATATTTTGAATATGGCAGTACAAGGGCTTGGAAATAAAAAAGACATAATGAGTGATGATCCCTGAGGCTCTATACCCAGCCAGCTGGACATTTTCCTTACTGATAGAGTATATTCCTCAATAAGAAGGACTTTTAATGTGATTAATGTAGTGTTCGAGATGTTTTCCCTGCAGGTTTTCTTTTTTTAAGTTCACATCCTCATATTCCATTAATGTAGTGTTCGAGATGTTTTCCCTGCAGGTTTTCTTTTTTTAAGTTCACATCCTCATATTCCAAAAATTGTCAGAGAAAGACAGTGAATCTAAGAAAAAAAGAGCTAGATGGATATTATTTAGTAGGCAGTAAAGGATAGAGATAGTGGATATCTATGTATGGACCATCATCAGAGCTGGAGGGGATTAGGATTCCAGAAGGGATGTAGGATCAGAGGACTCCGTGAAATCAAGGCATGGGGTATGCACATTATCAGAGCAGTAAAGAGAAAAGGCGTAATGTAGGAGTGGCTAGATCACCGCAGAGAGCATGCTACCCAGCTCTGAGATTAAAAATACAAGTTGGCAATATTCAGGGATGACTGGCTTGACTTCTCTGTACCAATAAATATGCTGTGATATTGGCGCATACCATTGGTGCCCTTAGTAAGGCAGATCAGAGAGAAGACAGTTCTACCAGAGACTGAGTTTATGAACAGTGAGAACCAACTCACAAGTCCAGGAGAAAACTGCAGAACACCCCAAGAAAATGTACTTTCTTACAGCTCTTATTGTAAGGGTACACCTACCCAAATGCTCTACCTCAACTAAACCAATCACAGCATATTTCCTCACTTACGTCATAGGAAGTCACCAAATGTCCTCTAGTGGTATGACGATACTCAGGGTAGTTCAGCACCAGCAGTAGTACTCAGCCCAACTGTGAATATAGAATGCTCTTCTGCTCCCAGCCGGCATGCAGCTTTTTGTCTAATTGGTCTGAGCTTTACTGAGATGTATTGCAGCATTTTCTTAAACCCATGTATGAGTATAAAGCTTTGGCCTAAATAATGAACTGCTAAAAATGACAACTAGGATGAAAGATGCTTAAAATAATTCTTTTTCCTCACTTCAAAACTTGTTTTTTGATTGTTAATTATGACAAACAAAGTTTATGCTTCAGCTAGTTGACAGAAGCTTCAGTGTTTTTGTGACTGGCTTATGGCTTACCTGACCCCGGTTTGGAGAATTCGTTCCCCACAGCAGAATAAGAGGAAAAGCACCCCTCCCTTTTTCCTTTGTGCCTTTGGCTCTTAACTATGTAAATTCTCACTTTTTAAATGTGGAAACTAGATCACTTAAGTGGTTAAGTGGTACAGTATAAAACTGAAGGCTGGAGAAACAGAAAATTCCTTCCTTCCATTCTAACTCTCTAATATATTTCTCGTTTATTACTCTTCAATGAAGGCAAAGAAAAAAGATTTTCTTCTGCTGAATCTCCAGCCTCTCAGGGAGAGTGAGCTGTGTCTTAGTAAGGCTCTTAAATCAATAGCAGTAGCCCAAGGCCCGCTAGGATTTTAATGCTGACTCCCATAATTAATGTTGATATAAAATATAAAATGATATGACATTACTCAGTTCCAGATTTGAATTTACAGTTTTTCTGATTGCATGTTTTAGAATATGAATTAGACAAGCCTGGAAATGGAAGAGGGGGTAGATTTAGTGAGTGTTCTTTTTCCTGGATTTAAAGGAAAATATCTTGTGCTGTTTCCAAGATTTGTGTCTTCATATAATATGTGCTCAGAAAATTAACTTTAAAGTAGTATGAGAAGTTATTTTTTTTTCCATAACTCTTCCTCTGAATTTTACAAAGCATGAAACTCTTTTAAAATAGTTTGTCATATCTGAGACTTTGGAGATGCTAGACTGATATTTTTGAACTGTTATTTCATCTGTTTTAAATTTCTTAACAATATGCTACTTAGCTTTTCTCTTTCTCTAGTAGGATAATGTATTCCATTCCTGGGAAGTGATCATCAGCATCTCTTGTTTAATACTCAGGATGAGGAGTCTTTGGGATAAAGTCACCAGTATCTACTTAGTGTGTTTCCTACCTTCCCAGGCTCAGAAATAACTTATTTTGGAATTGGCTGTACATGGGGCAGGTGGGACGTTAAATTCGTCTGCCCCTCGGACTTTCTTCCTCTTCACTTTCCTATCATGTGCCTTTGCTGCAGTCCTGTGGTGAGTGGCAGGCCGGGCCGTTGCATGCTCAGGGGCACAGTCGGCACGGGTGGGTTAAGAACAGACCGTCTCTGCAGCTGAGCACGGACCCATTATGGCAGCAGTGCTTTAGGTTGAGAATGAACTTCATGTTCCCTCATTTTCTCTCTTTTGCAGATAATTTCAAATGATAGCTGTGAATACAGTACACTTGAAGAACCTGTGAAATCCGTTTCATTCTTGTTCTTTGCAGGTATTTTAGGGTTGCTGTACTTCCCTCCTCAACTGATGTCAGCTGTCTGTTTCGAACAAAAGTCCATCCACCCATAGAATCCATTTTATTCAATGATATGTTCAGAGTGGCCATTTCCCAAACAGCCCTACAGCAGAAGACACTGAGAGTAGACCTTTGCTCTGTCAGTAAACACCGAAGGGAAGAATGCCTGGTAGGATTCTTCATAGTTACCGCTATCAAATAACACTTACAATTGGGTATTCTGGGAATAACATATATTTTCTAGTTGCCGTTTTGCCAGCCACTGTAAATCTGCCCAAACCTTGGGACACATCCAGTGGTTGTTTCTCTTTTTTCCTGAGGTAGTGATTTCTGTTCATTCTCTTATTCCAGACCTTAAAAATCTGCTTATAAATTGTGATTTTCTGTAAAAGCTACTTTTCATTTCTACCCTTTGTCTACAGAAGAACTTTTATCTCTGTTAGAGTTATCACTTATGGAGCGTGCTTATTACTTCCAATGCCAAACCTTGTGCTGAGTGCTCTGTGATAAATGAGAGTTTATCTCATTTAATTCTCATGACCATGTTATGAAAAATTGATTATGAAAGGTATGATTATCCCGTTTTAAGATAAAGAGCTGCTTGGAGAGCTAATGTATACAGGGTCACACAGCTAGTAAATGATGGAGCCAGATATCAAAAAAGACATCCCACACATAATTCAGTGTTGCAAATTTAAATTAAGCAAGAAACTAAGTATATGGTTCCTTTATTCAGCTCATTTGTCCCCACCATAGTATTAGAGTTCTAGAAAGACATAGTGTTACTGTTTAGAGCACTATGATATTTAAGTGCTCCAGCAAAATACTTCATACTTACCTAATGGTGATTTATTAACACATCATCGTGCATAATAACCAGAAAACCATCACGTACCAGTAAAGTTACATATGTGTTCAATGCAGGCATCCAGAGGTGTGCCCATGTGTTCAGAAAACATTGTAGGTCTGCAGTCCAATAGGGAGCAAAGAAACACCCATGCTTCATGAGCAAACCTTAAAAGGGTGATAGGTTTCTCCTTAATTTTTTCTTTCTTTATTTGAAAAAAAAAGTTTGTAATATTGTCTGATGATAAACGAAGTTAGAAAGAAGCAAAGGTAATGCAAGGAGTTCTGCTTCCTCTCCCCTGCCCAGCCCTCCTTTGATCTCTCCAGACTGGGACAATCAAAGAAGACAGGGTGTGGTGAGTCTCTTGGGTCCCATTTCAGCCAGAATCACCAAGGTGTATTCTGAGGCTTCAGAATTGCATGGCAGGGCCCCCTGGTGGGGCTGGACACACCACTGCAGACCAGTGAAAAGCCACCCCCAGATCCTAGGTGTCCCCCTACTCCAACCAGACTTGGTGCCCTGATGCCCCCATCCCAGCTGGGATGGTACAGAGAAGGTCTTAGTTTCATCTTCTCTCCCTTCCTTGGGCTCCTGAATTCATTTGCTCCAAAATCTTGTTAATTCCTTTTCTCTGGACTTTTTTTTCTTTTGTGTTTCCTTTCCCTTCCGTTTCTCTTTTATGTCCCCACCTCTCTTTCCCTGTGTCTGTCTTGCTATCTCTGTGTTCCTCTTTCTTCTCTCATCCTGTTTCTCTCTGTCCATTCAGGCCTCCTACCCACTCCATTGCTCCTATTCCTTCCCTCCTTAGTCTCCCTTTTGATATGCCAAAGCAATTTTGGGTCAAGTGCATTTAATGAGAACAAAACAAAAGGCTCATAACAACAAGAACATTTCAGAAATAAAGTTTTAAAAAAACCACTGAGTCAAAAAGTCAAACAATAAAGAAATTAGTATTTCTTCGGGGGGAAATAAGAAAGAAGTAACAATAACAGACTTGTTGGGCTATCAGAAAAATTTTAGTATAAAAGATGTCATACTTAATATATGTCAGAGTCTCCATTAAATATATTCATTGATAGCCTTTAAAAAATAGTATAGTTTAACGTAGAGATTTTTGACTGTGTGATTTGGTGGAATATGAAAGCCTTTACTTTCACTTTACTTTTTTTGGCATTCTACTAATTTGTGTATCCAAAGATAAATTTGCTGATTTCTCATTCAAAGTGGAATTTGTATTTGTTTGTTTTTAAAATTTTCAGTGGATAATGGGTTGTTTGTGAGTAATAATCAAGTCACTCTTATGGCTAGGTGTTGGCAAAATAGTATTTCACAAAATAATTCAGGATTGGCTTTGAGATTGGAGATTATTTCTTATTTAGTCAGCTGAAAATATATGACATCTCTGAGTTTAAAAAAAATCCACCAATGCTTTATATTACAAGTATCGCATTGTTTTTTACCCTAAAAAATGCTCACCCAATAATATTTATTATGTTGAAGGGAATAAATACTAATTTAAACATTATATTTTCTCTCTTCTTTATTATTTTCCTGTTTTTTTTTTTTTGTTGTTGTTGTTGTTTTCATTTCACATAGGCTGGAACTCAGATCAGCCTGGCAGATTTACCATTTTCCAATGACATTTTCACTCTGTGGTATAATTTGCTTCCTTCCAAGCAAATGCCTTGCAAAAAGAATGAAGAAGAAAATGAGGACTCTGTATTTCAACCAATCGAGCCATTAGTAGATTCTATAGACTTGGTGAGTCAAAATTAGAGATCAAAGTCATTAAAATTTTAGGGGGTAAGCTTTCAGCCTTTCACCATTACGTATGATTTTTGCTGTGGGTTTTTTGGTAGATGCCCTTTAACAGATTGAAGAAGACCTCTTCCTAGTTTGTTGAGCATTTTTATCACTAAAGGCTGTTGGATTTATCAAATGCTTTTCCTGCATCTGTTGAGATGATCATGTGGTTTCTGTCCTTTATTCAGCTGATATGGTTTATTAATTAATTTTCAGGTGTTAAATCAGTTTTGCATTCCTAGGATAAATCCCACTTGGTCAGGGTGTAGATCCTTTTTATGTTATTGTATTCAGTTTGCTAGTATTTTGTTGAGGATTTTTGTGTCTAGTTTTCTTGTGATGTGTTTGTCTGATTTTGATACTAGGGTAATTCTTCCGTCATGGAATGAGTTAGGACATGTTCCTTCCTCTTCTACCTTTTGGAAGAACTTGAGAAGAATTGGTATTAATTCTTCTTGAAATGTTGGTAGAATTCACCAGCAAAGCTATCTGGGCCTGGACTTTTCTTTGTGGGAAGTTTTTTGTTTACAAATTCAATCTCTTTACCTACAAGTCTATACAGATTTTTCTTCCTGAATCAGTTTCAGTAGCTTGTGTCTTACTAGGAAATTGTCCATTTCATCTAGGTTACTTAATTTTTTGGCATACAATTGTTCTTCATATTCCCTCATAAATCTTTTATATCTGTGAGATTGATAGTGATGTTCTCTCTTTCATTCTGGATTTTAGTAATTTCTTTTCTTTTTTTTTTTTTTTGGACAGTTTGGCCAAAGGTTTGTTTATTTGGGGGATCTTTTCAAACTACCAACTTTTGGCTTCATTTATTTTCACTGTTTTTTTATTCTCTATTTTATGAATTTCCACTCTAGTCTTTATTATTTTCTTCTTTCTGATTGCTTTAGGATTATTTTGATTTTCCTTTTCCATTTTCTTAAGGTGGGAAGTCAGGTTGTTGATTTGAGATCTTTCTGCTTTTTTAATGTAAGTGCTTACAGCTATAAATTTCTCTCCAAGCTCTGCTTTAGCAGCATCCCATTAGTTTTGGTATGCTGTATTTCGATTTTCATTCGTAAATCTCAAAGTGTTTGTTAGTTTTCCTTGTGATTTATTCTTTTACTCGTTGGTTATTTAGAACGTGTTAATTTCCACATATTTGTTAATTTCTCATGTTTCCTTCTGTTATTGATTTTTAATTTCATTCCAGTATGGCCAAAGAGCATGCCTTGTATGATTTTAGTCTTTTTTAATTTATTGAGGCTAGTCTTATGGCCTAATATATCCTGGAGAATAATTCAGATGCACTTGAGAAGAATATGTGTTTCGCTGTTGTTAGGTGGAGTTCTACAGATGTTTGTTAGGTCTAGTTGGTTTATAGTACTGTTATGTGTGTGTGTATATATATATATACATACATGTATATACACATTTTTATCATACTTTGTTTTCTATTCTTATCTCACTCTCTGATGTATTTCTTTTGTGGAGGGGGTGATGGAGAGGTATAACAAAGTGCATAAATTTCATTGGAATAGATTGATGAATTTTCACAAAACAAACACACATATATAGTTACCATCCAGATCAAAGTATAGTATGTTACCCTCACTCCAGTATCCTCTCGTATGCACTATCCTAGGTATTACCAGCGTCCCCTAAAAGTACTTCTATCACCATATGTTAGTTTTGCCTGTCTTTGAATTTTATATACTGGAATCATTCAGTATATATTCTTTTATGTCTAACATCTTGTACCCAACATTGTTTGTGAGAGTCATCTATGTTATTTTGTGTAGTTATAGTTTGTTCATGCTCATCATTATGTGATATTTTACTGTATAATTACATCACAATGTACTAATCCATTCTTTTGATGGACATTTGATTTGTTACTAATTTGAGGATTGTTATGAATAGTGCTGCTATTAGTATTCTTGTACATATCTTTTGTAAAAATATTGTCTACTTTCATTTTAGCTATTTTGGTGAATATATAGCACTATCTCATGTTTTTAATTTGCATTTATCTGAGGATAATATGTTAATTGCTAAATGGATGACATCTTTTGTGAATTGTGAAGTTTTTATAAGATGGGTGTTATTTTTTACTTAAGCATTTGGGAGAATTCCTAAGAGAATTCATCACCCAAGGCTATAGTTTTCAATCATACAGCATATTGAGACTTACTTTATGACTTAGCATGTGGTCAGCTTTTGGTAAACATTTCATGTGTTCTTGAAAAGAATGTACATTCTTCATGTCAAGTTTGTTAATTTTGTTTTTCAAATTCTCTATATCTACTGGTTTTTTAGTTTGCTTGTTTTATCAGTTATTGAGAGGTATATTAAAATCTCACTGACTTATGATTGTTGGTAAGTCTATTTCTCCTTTTAGTTCTATTAATCTTTGCATTTTTAGTCTATTATTAAATTAATATAAATTTGGCATTGTGTTGTATCTTTCTGTTCAACTGAACCTTTTTATCAAGCTATATCCACCTTTATTTGGTGAGTGTTTGCATGGTTTATCCTTTCCATCCTTTTACTCTCAGCCTTTCTGACTTCTTATATTTAAAGTGCTCCACAAGCAGTGTATAGTTGGTTTTGATTTATTATCCAGTCTTAAAATCTTTATCTATTAATTGAAGTATTTAGTTCATTTACATTTAAGGGTATTATTGATATATTTGGGTTTGAACCTATCATTTTACTATTCATTTTCTTTTAGTGCCATCTTCATTCCTTTTTTTCCTTCTTTTGAATTAATCAGCTATTTTTTAAATTTCATTTTATCCTCTACTAGATTATTAGTAATACAGTCTTTAATTTTTTCTATTTTCCTGGAGATGATAGCATGAATCCTTAATTTATTATAAACTACCTTAAATTAATACCTTTACTTTTTTTCAGAAGGGCAAGGATTTTAAAAGACTTTAACTGCATTTTTTTCCTTTCCTCCTCCTGTGTAATTATTGTCATATATTTTAGTCACATGTATTTTGAATCCCACAAGATATTATTATTATTATTGTTTTATTGACATTTAGTGTTCATTTAAACATTTGGTATTTATTTAGATTTCCACACATTTTTACTCTTTCTGATATATTCTATTCCTTTCTGCCTTATTTTTCCTCCATTTGAGTCATTTTCCTTCTGCTTAAAGAATTCCCCTTAGTATTTATTTTAGTACAGGCCTGTTGGTATCTATTTCAACTTCATTTGTGAAGGGCAGTTTTTTGCCGCATATTCAAAATTCTAGGTGGGCATTTATTTCTTTGAACATGTTAAATATATTATTTTATTGTCATCTGGTTTCCACTGATTCTGTTGAGCTGTTGAAGGACAGTCTAATTTCTGATCCTTAGAAAGTAAGGTATCCTTTTTTCTTGCACTACTTATAAGGTTTCTTCTTTTTCTTTGATTTTTAGCAGTTTCACTCTGATATGCTAATGTGGTTTTATACTAGTGAAATTCTTCATCATTTCATGTTTTTTTAACATATTAATTGTAAAAATTTAAATTCCTGCTCTAAGCACCTGAAGTATATGGATCATTTGTGGGTCTGCCTCTTTTGTCTATTGTTTCTCTTGGCTTTCAGTCATTAGGTTCTGATGGAATGCTGGATATTATATATGAAGGATTGTAGAGGCTCTAGCTGATATCTTCCTCCAGAGAAGATGTAAATTTTTTCTGAAAGGCAAATTATAATATGGGCAGATTACCTGAATACTTGGGGGACCTGAATTCCAATTTTTCTCACCCTAGGACCGTATGAGACCACTGAAATATCTGTTTACTGTTTTAGCCTCCTAGCAGCTGGGCTTTTACTTTGTTTCTCAGCCTCTTACTCATATGCAGCTTAAGAATGCCAAATGTTTTGACAGGAACATCCTGCAGAATATTGGGCTCACTTTACAGTTCATTGTCTCTGGCCCCTTGTGTGCTGACTGCTTTGGTAGTCCTGAACTCAGTTCGAGTCCTCACTTCTTGCTGATACCGCCACAGTTCTAGGTAGACAAAGTGTGTTTAGCTTGTATGCCTCACTACTAGAATTGACGAATGCTGTCAAGGGAAAAGAGCATCAGTGAGTGATACCTCACTATATTTCTCTTTCCTCTGGGATCTTGGCCCTCTACTCCTTATTGCCTTTGTTGCTTTTCATTGCTTTAAAACATCTGAGAGTTTTTATTTGTTTTATGTTTCATTTTATTCAGATCTTGTGTTTGTTCTCAGCAGGGAGCTGAGCCTGGTACAAGCTTTCTTCTTCACAGCTTAAATTATAAATCTCCATCTGATGAATTTTTAAATCATTTCTCAAAGTGCATGATGTTAATTGTTATATGTTTTACATTCTCCAGGATGCAGTGTCAGCCTTGCTTGCAAGGACATCAGCTGAGCTTTTGGCTGTGGAACAAGAATTAGCACAAGAAGAAGAAGAAGAAGAATCAGGGCAAGAAGAGGAGCAAAGGGGTCCAGATGGAGATTGGTAAAACACTTGTTTCCTTTCACTCTTGGAAACTCAAAGGGGATGTTTTTAGTTGCTCGTAAGAAACTTCCAGTGAAACCTTTATGAGTTCATATCTTACTCCACAATTATGGACAGCAGTGCAGCCCCAGGGAGCTATGGCTAGGGAAAGTCTCTACTTGGTCCTTAGTTGAAGGAGGTATGGCAAGATTGTAGGCCATATTAGCCAGATTGTTTATTCTTGCTTTGAGTAATTTTAAACACTATTTTCTGAGCTTTTTTTTTTAATTCTAAACTACCGATTTTGAAAGATATGGTAGCTCATTGTAAAGTCATATAGATTAAAAACTGACTCTCTTTTTCTTTAAACTACCAGAAGTACCATTTAGGCTCTGGTAAGACAAAGCAGATATTTAGAAAACAGCTTCTGTGTAGTCATTTCTCTATTTGTTACCACTTTCACCTTCTTTTTCTGTTTCCTTCTCTGTATCCATACCCCATCCTTTAAAAAGTGGGGAGGGGGGAAGAAGGGTAGTTATAGCTTTTGTCCAGATTCATATATGAATGGTTTTCAGAAAGTTCATGGAAGGATTTGTGTTATCTTTTGATTTAATTTTTCCATGAGCTTTTTGAAGTATGCTCATATGTGACTAGCTATCTTTCTTGGTTTACAGTATTTTCTCTAAAAACAAATTTTAGTGAATGCTTAAAGTTGTTTAAGCATATATGTGAAATCATTTGGGTTAATTTTTTATATGTAGTTGCTTATACTGTTATGTTTGAACTACCGTTAACACATATATGCATGTGTGTGTGTGTGTGTGTGTATAACATGCGGTTCTGTGTATGTGTGTATATAAAACTTTTTAGAAACTCAGTGACAAGGTATATTATAAATAAGACATACATGGACATTTGAAAGGAAGAACTACTATACTGATGTAAAAAGTACAGATATACTTTGTGCTTATCAAAAATTCTTTAAAGTAAATAAAAACCAGAGCACTGTAAAATAAATATGAGAGTGATTATAAGGTTCATCATAGTACCTTTAAATACTAAGCTTTCCTGGTGTATGGAAAACATAGAATTTGTTTCACACATATTTCAGAAAAAATACTCAGTATGTGAATAAAGGAATTTATAACTCATGGTAGTCATTGCTGATTCCACATTGTGTTTACTTAATGGCTGGTGAGACATGTAATAATTAGTCTGTGCCAATTTGTCAGTATGTCACCAATCACAGTTAAAGCTAGAAATTTAGTTATCAATGGAAAAAATGTTTCTTGTCTATGAACATGAAACTCAACAAAGTATGAGGTGTTCTAAACTGTCCTACTACTCCTGCTTTATATATTCTGTATAAACTGTTAATCTATTTATATTCTGGAGCATCACACCACTTATAAAGCCACCCACATTAATGCCATGCTTTTGTTAAAGATGAGATCATATGATAGTAAGAGTCTTCTGTTAGTTTAGTAGTACTCTAAAGTAGTACTTTAGGGCCCACCCAGCCACCACAGAGGCCCCACTGGAGTGACTGGCAGCTATGCTGTCAGCAACACCCTCTGCCACTGCTGCAGACACCAGTAAGGAATGACTGAGCTGTGACAGCCACTGCCACAGCAACTTCTGCCACAAGGACAGCTCACAGCCACAACAGCAGCCATTGCTACCTCATAGGTTACCTGCTGACCATTCATTGGCATAGACAGAAGAAGAGTCACCAGTGGAGCCCAGGGAAAGAGGAAAGGAAAAACGGAAAACCAACCCAGAGTCATCCATTCAAATCGAGGAGCACTAGTATACCCCAGTGCACCCATCAGGGTCAGGGTGAGCTAGCCAGGGTGCCAATAGTCCCGCCCAAGAACACCCACCATAATCTAAAAGTAACAAGACTCCAAGGCACTATCCCCTGAAATTTGAGAGCTTGCTCATGTCCTGATGAACCAATATAGTGTCACCAACCTCAACAAGGAAATACTAAGTGTCCCAGGGACTAGGTCACAGAGGCACTCTCACACAATTCCAACACGGAATTTGGCCGAAATAACTACAAAGAGACTACACTATGATGTCTACCTGGATCCAATACTAAAACATCCCATTCAACCATCATTATATATGAACCACACCTGTGAGAGGAGCTCCCTCTCTGCTAACCACAATCTAGAGTACTAGAAAAAGTAACTTCTCTACCAGATAACTAAATACCAATGGAGAGATACTAGAAAAATCAAGAAAATATGACACCACCAAAGGAATATAATAACTCTCAAATACCAGATCTTATAGAACAGGAAGTCCTTGAAATGACTGAAAAGGAATTTTGAGCAACAATTCTAAGGAAACTCAAGGAGATACAAGAAGACTCAGTTAAACAACACAACAAAATGGGAAAGAGTATCCAGGACCTAAAGGAGGAAATGTACAAAGAAATTGCCCTGAAAAAGAATGTAGCAGAGCTTTTGGAGCTGAGGGATTTGTTCAATGAAGTAAAAAACACAACAGAGAACTAAAACAGCAGGCTAAAACAAACAGAAGAGAGAATTCCTGATCTTGAAGATGGCCTTTTTGAAAAAACTCAGACAAAAAGCAAAAAAGAATTTAAAAAAATGAAGTAAATCTAACATAGCAGACAACCGTAAGCACTCAAATATCTGAATCGTGGGTGTTCCAGAAGGGGAAGAAAAAGGAAAAGGCATTCAAAATGTATTCAATGAAATAATAGCAGAAAACTTGCCAGGTATACAGAGAGGTACAGATCTGCAGATCTAGGAGACTCAAAGATCCCCAAACAAATTCAACCCCAAAAGATCCTCTCCAAAACACATTATAGTCAAACTGGCAAACCTGAAAGACAGAGAGAGAATCTTAAAAGCTGCAAGAGAAAAGCATCAAGTCACCTGTAAGGGAGCCCCTATCAGACTAACAGCTGACTTTTCATCAGAAACCCTAAAAGCCAGAAGAGAATGGAATTGATATATTCAAAACAACAAAAGACAAAAATTGCCAGCCAAGAATACTATGCCCAGCAAGGCTATCCTTCCAAAATGAAGGACAAACAGTATATTTCCAAGACAAACAAAAATTGTGGGAGTTCACCACCACACAATCAGCCCTACAAGAAATTCTCAAAGGAGTACTGCACCTGGTCCCTGAAAAACAGCAATCACTACCATGAATATTCAGGAAAGAACAAAACCCACCAGTAAAACAAAAATGCAAACGATAAAGAGAAAAGAACTTTATCTACTGTCTCAAGAAACTAACAAACATAGAAGACAAACAGTACATCAGAAAGAAAGGAACAAAAGATATTTAAAGCATCCAATCAAAAATCAGTAACATGCCAGGAATAAATCAACACCTTTCAATAATAACTCTTAATGTAAAAGGATTGAATTCCCCACTGAAAAGACATAGACTGATTGGATTAAAAAGATGGACCCAACAGTATGCTGTCTTCAAGAGACTCACCTCACCTGTAAAGACACACACAGACTAAGTAACAGGATGGAAAAAGATATACCATGCAAATAGAAACCCCAAACGAGCTGGAGTAGCTATTTTTTTGTCAGATAAAATAGACTTTAAACCAAAAACCCTAAAAAGACATAAAGAAGGCCAGTATATAATTTAAAAATGGATCTATCCAGCAAGAAGACATAACAGTAATAAATATATATGCACCCAATATTGGAGTAGCCAGATATATAAAGCAAATACTGTTAGGCCTGAAGAAAGATACAGATCCTGACACCATAATGGTAGGGGACCCAAACACTGCACTCTCAACATTGGACAGATCATCTAGGCAAAAAATCAACAGAGAAACACAAGATCTAAACAATACTTTTGACCAATTGGACTTGGTAGACATCTACAGAACATTTCATTCAACATCCACAGAATATACATTCTTCTCATCTGCACATGGAACATTCTCCAGGATAGACCACATTAGGTCACAAATCAAATCTCAACAAACTCAAATAGGAATTATTTTATGTATTTTTTCAGATCACAATGGATTAAAATTAGAAAGCAATAACAAATGAAACTCTGGAATTTATACAGATCCATGGAAATTAAACAACATTCTACAGAATGACATATGGGTCCAAGAAGAAATTAAACAGGAAATCAAAAATTTATTGAAAGTAATGAAAATAGTGACACATCATACCAAAACCTTTGGGATACTGCAAAAGCAGTACAAAGAGGGAATTTTATCCCAATCAATGCTTGCTTCACAAGAATGGAAAGATGGCAGATAAACAACCTAATACTTTGCAGAACTAGAAAAATAAGAACAATCCAACCACAAAGTTAGTAGATGGAAATAAATAATTAAGATTAGAGCAGAACTAAATGAAATGGAAACCCAAAAAAACAATACTAAAGATCAATGAAATAAAAAGTTTGTTTTTCAAGAAATTAAGTAAAATAGATAAGCCATTTAGCTAGGCTAACTAAAGAAAGTAGAGAGAAGACCCAAATAACAAAAATTAGAGATGAAAAAGGAGACATTACAACCAATACCACAAAAATACAAAGAATCATTAGAGCCTATTATAAACAACTATGCACCAAGAAATTTGAAAACTGGGAGGAAACGGACAAGTTTCTGGACATACACAAGCTACCAAAAATACACAGAAAACCTGAACAAACTAATACCAAAGAGACTGAAGCTGTAATCAGCCAAAAAAAAAGCCCAGGACTGGATGGCTTCACTGCAGAATTCATCCAACCTTTAAAGAAGAATTAATACCAATTCTCTACAAACTATTGCAAAAAATTGAAACAGAGGCCATTCTCCCAAACTCATTCTGTGAGGCAAACATCACCCTGATTCCAAAACCAGACAAAGATACAACAAAAAAAGAAAACTACAGGCCAATATCTTTGATGAATATAGATGCAAAAATCCTCAATAAAATATTAGCTAATAGAATACAGCAACACATACATAAAATTATACACCACGATCAAGTGGGATTCATCCCAGGGATGCAAGGATGGTTCAACATACACAAGTCAATAAATGTGATACACCACATCAACAAAATCAAAGACAAAAACCATATGATTATCTCAATAGATGCTAAAAAAGCATTTGACAAAATTCAACATCCCTTCATGACAAAGACTCGCAACAAATTAGTTATAGAAGGAAAATAACTCAACACAATTAAAGCCAAATATGACAAACCCACTGACAATATCATACTGAATGGAGAAAAGTTGAAAGCTTTTCCCTTAAGAATAGGAACAAAATAAAGATGCCCACTCTCGCCACTCCTTTTCAATATAGAATTGGAAGTACTAGCCAGAACAATAAAGGAAGAGAAAGAAATAAAGGGCATCCAGATTGGAATAGATGAAGTCAGATTGTCCCTGTTGCAGATGACATGATCCTATATAGAGAACAGCCTAAAGACTCTACAAAAAAATTCTTAGAGTTGATAAATAATTTCAGCAAAGTTGCAGGATACAAAATCAACAGAACAATCAGTAGCATTTTTATATTCCAACAATGAACTAGCAGAAAAAGAAATCAGGAAAGCTAGCCCATTTACAGTAGTCACCAAAAAAGTAAAATGCCTAGGAATAAAGTTAACCAAGGAGGTGAAGAATCTCTATGATGAGAACTGCAAATCCTTGTTGAGAGAAATTGAAGAGGACACAAGAAGATAGAGAGATATTTCATGCTCGTGGATTGGAAGAATTAACATGAAAATGTCCATACTACCCAAAGTGATCTACAGATTCAGAGCAGCCCCCATCAAAATACTAAAGACGTTCTTCACAGAAATGGAAAAAACATTCTAACATTCATATGGAACAACAAAAGACCCTGAATAGCCAAAGCAATCCTGAACAAAAAAAATAAAGCTGGAGGCATAACACTACCTGACTTCAAACTATACATAGTAACCAAAACAGCATGGTACTGGCATGAAAAAAGACACACAGACCAATGGAACAGAATAGAGAACCCAGAAATCAGCCTATATGCCTACAGCCATCTGATCTTTGACAAAGGCACCAAGAACAGACACTGGGAAAGAGACTGCCTCTTCAATAAATGTTGCTGGGAAAATTGGATGTCCATGTGTAGAAGAATGAAACTAGACCTTTACCTCTCACCATATACCAAAATCAACTCAAAATGGATTAAAGAATTAAATATACATCCTCAAACTATAAAACTTCTGAAAGAAAACATAGGGGAAACACTTCAGGAATTAAGACTGGGCATTGACTTTATGAATATGACCCCAAAAGCACAGACAACCAAAGGAAAAATAAACAAATGGGATTATGTCAAACTAAAGAGCTTCTGCATAGCAAAAGAAACAACAGAATGAAGACAACCAACAGAGTGGGAGAAAATATTTCAAAATATGCATCCAACAAAGGATTAATATGCAGGAATTCAAACAACTTAACAGCAGAAATACAGGTAAACCAATTAAAAAATTGGCAAAGGAGCTGAATAGGCATTTCTCATAGGAAGATATAAGAATGGCCAACAGACATAAAAAAATGCTCACTGTCACTCAGCATTTGGGAAGTGCAAATCAAAACCATATTGAGATATCATCTCACTCCCGTTAGGCTGGCTAATATCCAAAAGACTGAGAATAGCAAATACTGGCCAGGATGGGGAGACAAGGGGAACCCTGCTACATTGTTGGTGGGATTGAAAAATGGCACAGCCATTATGGAAGGTGGTATGGAGGTTCCTCAAACAACTACAGATAGAACTGCCTTATGACCCAGCTATTCCACAGCTGGGTATATACCCAGAGGAATGGAAATCATCATGTCGAAGGGATACCTGTACTCCATGATATTGCAGCTCTATTTACAATAGCCAAGAGTTGGAACCAACCTAAATGCCCATCATCAGACAAGTGGATAGGAAAATGTGGTATATCTACATGATGGAATACTACTCTGCTATAAAAAAAGAATGAAATACTACCATTTGCAGCAACATGGATGGACTGAGAGAAAATTATGATAAGTGAAATAAGCCAGACACAGAAAGAGAAATACCGCCTGTTCTCACTTATATGTGAGAGCAAATAAAAATTAATATAAATAAATAAACAAATAGAGGGGAAAAAGACAACAATCACAATAATTCCTTGAACTTGTTAAGAGACGAGAACAGATATGTTGATGGGGGTGGGAAAGGAAGAGATGAAGAGGGGAAAGGGAGGAATTGGTAAAGGGCTATGAAAATCAGCTACACTGTGTATAATGATAAATAAAAGAAAAATTTTTTTAAAAAAGTAGTACTTTACACAGGGTTCTCCCTGCTAGACTGTGAGCATGGTCAGTAGTGGGTAATTTTAATCCTTATGTCTTTATTCACTCAGCTGAAAGTAACTCCATTCTGTTGTAGGATTAATTTTACAATAAATGAACAACTAATACCATGTTATTTTATAATGTCAATATTTTTACATGTTGGCATTAAACTGTAGATGTGATTTTCAGAATGTTTTTATTTTATTATCTGGAGATTGGGTCAAATTTTCATGAGTTTAACTTTTTAATATCACATTATAGTGAATTTGCTGCAGATTGCTAGGAAGTAAAGTGAGAATTTTGTTTTTTATGAGACATTTAGTTAAGAGTTTTAACCAAAGAAATGGCTTGAGTCATTATGTATGAGACTGTTGTTTATTTCTCAGATAACGGGTTAACATGCCCAGGTTGTACTGTTCATGGGCATGTCTGCTTGACTTAAAGTTTGTTTTTCTTCACCATAGGCTAACAATGCTAAGAGAGGCCTCCAATGAAATTGTGGCTGAAAAAGAGGCTGAAGTTAAATTGCCAGAGGGCAGTAGCTGTACAGAAGACTTAAGTTCATGCACTAGTGTTCCTGAAATCAATGAAAACAGGAGTAGAAAAGAAAACTACCGTGCCAAAGACATTAGAAGTCAGCCACCTACTGGAATACCCACCCTGGTGAATATTCAGCTCCTAAAACACATAGCTTATAGGCACCATGTAGACTAAGGAGATGTATGGTTGTCTCTTCAGGTGTAATTCCATGTTAGGATTATATGCCAAAAGCTGATTATGAAAGGCATTTGTGGGAATAGGCTCTAAGAAGCATTATAAATGCTTTAAAGTTTTTAAATGGCCAAAAATATTAATTCTCCACTTGTAGTTGATATAAGAAGAAATATAGTTTAGATCTCTATAAGTGTCCTGTGATTTTTTTTTTTTTTTGGTGGCTGGCCTGTATGGAGATCTGAACCCTTGACCTTGGTGTAATCAACACTGCTTGTGAATATTTTTAAGTATTTTCTGAATTTCTTGGATAAAAGCAGGGTAATTGTATCAAGTTGGACATATGTTATAAGTTTATTTCTATTTTAAACATGAAGCAGGCATTTTAAGTTCATTTATGTTAAATGATGTTCTGATTGCAGTCTCCTCTGGAAGGTGGCAGATGACTTGGTTTAGGCACAGGTGCCAGCCAAGTTATTAAACAGATAATTTGCTAGGTAAGTGAGAGAAGTGTTAAGACTGCCGTCCCCAAATAGGGAAAATTATTTTCAAGCTTTGAGGATGCTGGCACACTTGGGATGTTGGTAATGAAGTTTAGAAAATTCCAATTCTTTATCCCTGTGAAAATAATATTATACCCTTTCTGAGGGGAGTTTCATCAAGAGGCAGATTAGGAATTGAGTTATACCTATAAGTGAAAAATAGACATCTGTCTGTGCCTACAGAGTTTGTATCTTGAGAAACTTCCATTTTTACTTAAATTTTATTTTTGATGCATTTCCAAAGATTCAGTAAAAATCCATACTCAGCTTCACAACAGTTGTTATATTCATATATGTATAATTGCACATTTAATTTAAATCTACAACCTTGTAGTGTATTTTTATTTTCTTATATTTGCTTATTTTTTATTCTGAAAAAATTCTAATCAGAAAGATGAATAATGTTTAATAATGATATATTCCCAAATAAGATTTTTTTATAGAACCTCTTTAAATGTAAACCTTCATTTTTAAGTCTAATGGTTGGAGCTGACACCTCTATTGATGGATAACCTTGTTGGACAGGTATCATCCTACCTACTATGGGTGACTTCCAAGAACTCAGTAGAAAACCATTCTTCCCAGCTTTCTTTCAAACGTACTATTCTCTGCAATGCAAAGCCTTTCTCTCAGGAATGGCCTAGTGCTAGATGAGTCTCCGTTGTAACATTAGATATTCCTTTCATACTTAGAAGAAAGGAGCATAAATGTGTACATATCTCTCAGCTCCTGACAAATTACTAACTTCTCTTGTAGGTTGATAAAGAGACAAATACTGATGAAGCAGTTAATGATAATATGGCAGTTCGCCCCAAAGACTGCAGCAGCCTGAGTTCTCGGCAGCATCCCTTTGTGAGGAGCAGTGTGATAGTGCGCTCACAAACTTTTTCTCCGGGAGAGCGGAACCAGTACATCTGCAGGGTAAGGTACAGTGTTCGTACGGGGCACTGAGGACTGCAGCTGCTTCCCCTGGTAGTGAGTAGCCTGTTAACAACAAGACACTGCACACTGGGAATCTTCAAAGTCTGTCTACAAACACTAGTGGCTAGAAGTGTTATAAAATATATGCAGAATATCACACTCATTGGTTTAATTAAATGTCTCATTGGTTCTAACATGATTTACTTATTTAGTAAATAAGTGACATTTAAGGATCTGGGTGCTAAGTATATTTGGACTTGAGTTTGTACTTAGAAACCTAAAGTGACTTTTGAGATATATATTTTGTATATTTCTGCTCTTTACCATACATATTTCAAACCATGTTAGTCCTGCTGAACTGAAAATTGTGAATTAGATTTTAGAGCAAAAATCATCTCTTACTAATGCCTCTAGACACTCTAGAATCACATTTATAGTTCTGTAAAGAAAATTGTGGGATTTGCATGAACTTACCAAATTCTGCTTCTAGAAGTATTTGTGATTTATAGTAAGATAGATTTAATATTATATGATGAGTTAGAAATACTTTTAAAATTCTAAATTTATCCATTCACTTCAATGAATATTTTTGTTAAGCACCCACTATTAAGTACTTTCCTATATACTTGGGATTCATCCAGAAACAAAAGAGACCCAGAGACCCAACCCTGCAGAGTTTACATTCTTGTGAGTTGAGCCAGACCATGATCAATAAATATGATGAATAACTATGAAGTACCTTGGATCAATGCTATAGGAAAAAAATAGAGCAATTTAAGAGGGTTAAATTTAAGATAAGTAGGATTTCAGAGTAGGCCTCTTTGATAAGGTGACATTTCAGCAAAGACTTGAACTAGGGGAGGATGTGAGTGTGGGCTGTCTGAGCTATGAGTATTCTAAATAGCACAGACTGTGTCTTAACTTTGACCTTGGGCTCTGTACTTTATGCAAACCTTTCTTTAAAGAAAAGAATATCACGTATTAGCCAAAAATACAAAGGATAATTTTATTTTTAAAAATGTATACTTAACATACAACTTTTGATAACTGCTATCAAAATGCAGTTATTTAAATTTTTTAAGAAAATGAAGTTATTTAAGAAAAGCATAGAGAAAAGCTTGTTTGGGGAGGATTTTCTTACAGAAATAAACTCATATTATTACTACTTGCTTTATTTGATAAACTTCTCAGTTGTGAACTTCCACATGCCCTCTGTTTATTAGTGTTTTTTTGTTTTGCTTTGTTTTAATCTTTTGTTGCCAGTTAAATCGAAGTGACAGTGACAGTTCAACCCTGGCTAAAAAATCACTGTTTGTGAGAAACTCCACTGAACGGCGCAGTTTGAGGGTCAAAAGGGTATGTATTCCCTCTGCTACATCCCACTGTCCTAGACCAATCCAAAATCATGAATTGCAAAACATAAACTCCAAAACTGTTGAGTGTTAGTGCTCCATGCTGTTGAATGAAGCCACCGTGACTAGACAGAGATGCAACTGTCATGTCAGTTATAGAGACAGAGAGGATGTGCTTGAGAGCATTCATTCATCCCTGGTTTGGAACCTGTGTTAATTAAGGCTGGAATTTTAGTTTGCAGTGTCTCTGGAGAAGGGGCTTGCTGAGTTCTTAAGTGTATCGACAGTAGGCTGAACACATTTCTGATGATGGCTGCTGTGTCTCCACCCCATGTCTGGCTATTGAGCAACTGTGGGAAGAGTGTAAAACCCAGTGCCTTTTCTGAAGGAGCAAACATTATGGTATTATAGGAGGAATACACACTTTTTGTAATTTGCTTAAACAGATATTAGAAGGTTAAAGTTAATGTGGGTGGCAGCTCAGGTCAAGTTTTCCTGTAGACTGTTGGTCTCTGGATGAGTTTTATGGATAAGTATGAGGAAATATTTAAACAAGTTAAAAGTTTGGACTGTTCAAATAGTTCAGAAATTCTTGTTTACTTACCAACAGCTGAAATAACTAAAGGAAAGTTACTTGTTTACTGTTATCATTTTGGCTTAAAATGTGTTGTTTGGAAATCAGAGCACTGCGTGTGACTGAGCTTTGGGATAGTGAGGTCGCCACCTTCAGGAGTCCACGGTCTAGAAGAGGGACTCAGAGGTGCATAGGAGACTGTTAAAAGCATGCAGGGTGTTAGAAGGAATGAGCTCATCTGGTCGGAATTCTGAAAGGCTTCACGGTAGAGGTCTGTGATCTCGGTGCCTGCATAAAATTTCAAAAGAAAATGGTAGCTTTGGGGCAGGAGGTTTTGGGGGATAGGGTGCATACTAAGTGCTGTCAGTAGGTGGCTTGAAATGACGCCGGGGCAGGAAAACACACAGGTAATGAGGAGTGTTAGGTTGGGCAGAGCTCTGGCACTGTGGACAGGAAGACTGGGTCTGGAGACTGGGAGGGAGAGTTAGAGGAATCATTGTCATAGTGCCACTCTGGTTTCTGTACAGAGGACTAGATGTATGGCTAAGCAGCATTTGTCTCCCTCAGCTTAACTTCCTAGTTACCTGAAGGTAATAAAAGCATTTTTCTTTTTTCTAAAGGCAGATATGCTGGCATTTATTTAGCAGTCAGCATTTTCAGGAAATTCTGAGGTATAGATCTTTCACATTACCAAACGTTATGCTTAAAAAGCACCTAAATTTTTATCATCCTGGATGAAAATTCTTCTCAACTGCTTTCTCAATTGCCTGCTTTCTTAACGAGCTCATACTTTACAGATTGGTTGCACTCAGAAATTTTAACCAGAAGTGTTTATACATCGAATGAAGCTAAAAACAGTTGGGTTATTGATAAACTTAGCTATTAGAACTACTTTAACCAGACAAAGGTTAATCCTGAAGCGTTATGTAGGAGATGGTTTTTGAATTTTTTTTAAAATTTATTTATTATTGTTATTATTTTACATTCTAAGATGTCGTAGAGCAGTAGGAAGGTGGGGGAGGGAAGCAGAGGTTGAGGTGCACGGGCGGGGTTGGCCCATGGTCAGCTCCTTTGCTGGCCTGGTTGTGGAGGGCAGCAGAGGGGGGTGGTGGTGGGGGAATGAAGCTCATGGGACCCCCCAGCTCTAGCTTGGGAGCCAGGGGAGTTTCTGGTGGTGGCACAGTTGTCTCTGGGCTGGATTCAAATGTCAGGAGACATGGCTGAGGCCCTCACCCCCATGCTGGCTTGGGGGCCCAGTGGGCTTCCGGTGGCAGGTTGGTCATTGCCAGGCTGGATATGGCATTGGAGGGGTGTGGCTGAGGCCCTTGGACACCCCTCATCCTGGCTTGGGAGCCCTTCTAGGTTTTATAGGTGTTCTTTGGTTGGACCTTTACTGGTTAATATCAGAACTTTGATATTTGACTTACAGTGAATTCTGAAGGTGTTGGACCTTTACTGGTTAATAGCAGAAATTTGTCTCTGATCTGTGGGGGTTTTGTGGTTTCTTTCAGTTCTGTGTTGGATTATTTGCTGTTCCCACCACTTAAACTCTGCAACTGGAACTCATTTGTTGTCCTTTGCTTACATCTAAAATGGGGGAACTTCCTGTGGGGACCAGCACTTGAGCCGTGTGGTTGAGCTAAATTGCTGCTTTGCTGCTGATTCTCTGGAGAAGGCTTTTTGTGCAGCTCACATTTTAATTGTTGACCTTGTAAGCACTTCTGGGCCTTGTGAGGTCCAGTACATCTGGGTTGTGTGGAAACTCTGGTCTGGGCCTGAGTCTTTTCAGCAAACTGCACGTCCTGCAGTTCTATATTCCTGACCAGTCTCCACTGAGTGGGCCTGTGCTGATTGGTGGGCAGATCAACTGTCCCTGCTGTGCCCCAGTGTTCCCCCAGTGGGCCCTTCCCCTTCACTGCCCCTACTCAAAACACTTCCCATGGGGTGGGCCATGCACCAGTCCCTTGCAATGACTCACCAGCCTTTGAGTGGCTCCTTTTTTCAGTTGTCTGTGGCCCCTCACCCATATGTGGGTCCACGGGAACCCCATTAGTGATCTTCCTGGCCTGGGGGGCACTAAGGCCCTCCTTTCTCCTGCACTCACCAAGCAACTTCACAAAAGGGCCCAGCTGCATTTTTTGCCAGCTCTTGCTCCGTGTGCTTACCAGGGCCAGCCTTGAAATGGTCAGGGCTCAAAACGGTTGGGGTGGTCCCTTCTTCCTCTCATTGCAGCTTCTCCCACCTTCATCATCTCCATAGGTCTCTCCTCCTCTTCCCCGAGCTCTAGCAGCCCCAGCTTGGCAGTCTTTGCTGTTTAATAGTTGTAAATTGGTTGATTGTGGGAGAGAGTGATGCTGGGGACCATCTATTCCACCATCTTTATTCTGGATCCGGTCTTGAATGGTTTTTGAAATAGATACAGTTTGATAGAAATGAGTGAGGAATGGTATTCTGACTTAGAAATTATAGCATGAAAAAGGTGTAGAGGTGTAAGAGAATAAAAGCATCTGCAAAGATCAGTAAGAGGTTTACCTGTGGGTCAGGAGATTAGAGAGTGCTCCTTGGCAGTGGTGTGCTGGTCCCTCCTCATACTGGCCCACGAATACCAGTTGTGCATGTCTCTTCTCAATCCAGTGACATCACATTGATAGCTTGAGAACAGTTACGGTGGGAGTATTTACACGATAGAAATCAGCAACACTTACATACCAGTGTTCCCTCCCCCCGGCAAGGAGCAGTTTTTGATCATTTACCAGCAGACCACTGAACACTGAGGTCCTAGAAAGGCTCCATGCATGTGACTACTAGCAAATATTTCTGATTCTTAGACACGAATAACACACTCAAAGAGAATGGGTGTCTAGGTGATTCTTACTGTGTAATACTTCGTTAGAGAGGGCAGAGGTTGAATAAAGGGAACCTAAGAAGAAGAAGAATGTTACAGAAGCCTTGCCCCTAAATTTTTAGTGAACATACAATATGTGCTGGACAAGGAGGAGGAGGAAAAGGAGGAGACAGTAAAAGCTATTCTGACTGGGGCTAAGGCTAGGAAATAAGGACATATGGGCTGTCTCCCTCTTCATCTGTCATGAGCACCACCATTGTTCCAGATCTTCAAACTAGAGTACTTTCCAAGTTTGAGTCCCTTAAGTATCAGTTCTTATTAGTCATCTCTTAGTTTCCATTCCCACCACCAACAGTCTAGGCAAGAAATACCTCCTGTTCCCCTCTGCTTGTGCAGTCTGCCCCAGCCTAGTTTAAATTCTTTTCCTCAAGTTAGTCTGCCCAGTCCTGAATGGTCTGTCCCTTCCCTAACTTACTGTGGCACTTAAAGCACTAAGTGAGGGTTATACCATCACTTCCAGGGAGCAAAGAAGAACAATCCTATCAGGTGCCAGGAAGGAGGAAAAACAGAATAATCACTGCCCATATAGTAAGGGTGTTTTGTTATTGTTTTGTTTTTAACTATCCAGACGGTATGCCAGCCAGTCCTGAGAAGAACAGCGCAAGAATGCCCAGTGCGTACATCTCTAGACTTAGAACTGGATCTTCAGGCATCTCTAACCCGGCAGAGTCGCCTCAATGATGAGCTGCAGGCCCTGAGGGGCTTGAGGCAAAAGCTGGAAGAACTGAAAGCTCAAGGAGAGACTGACCTTCCACCAGGTGTGCTGGAGGATGAGAGATTCCAGAAGCTCCTGAAACAAGCTGAGAAGCAGGTACAGATCTCGGTGTCTTGTCATCCCTGAGGAGCTTGCACAAAGGTCATCTTTTTAAAGCCCACCCTATAGAAGGTATCCAACTTATACCTCAGTTTTGCTCAAAAGTCTTCAGACCCTTTTTCTAGAACTTGGAACACATGTTTCCCCACTATTGTAAGGTGTCTTAGTCCATTTGTGTTGCTATAACAGAAATACCTGAAATGGGGTAATTTATAAGGAAAAGAGGTTTACTTGGCTTATGATTCTGGGACAGCTGCATCTGGCATGGGCCTCAGGCTGCTTCTACTCATGGCGGAAAGCAACAGGCAGCCGGCAGGTACAAGCAGATCACATGGGGAGAGGGAGCAAGAGAGAGAGAGGAGGTGCCAGGGTCTTTTAAACAACGAGCTCTCGTGGGAACTAATAGAGCGAGAACTCACTCATTACTCTCCCCTCCCCCAGGGAGAGCATTAATCCATTCATGAGGAATCCACCCCCATGACTCAGTTTCCGACACTGCCACATTGGAGATCAAATTTCCACATGAGTTTTGGGGGGACAACACATCCAAACTCTATAACAAGGCTTTTTATTTTTACCCAGAATATTGCTAAAATAATGGTAACATGACCCACCAAGGTGCAGATAAGAGGTCCCCCACCACCCCACCCCACAGCTGCAGTTTTGGTGGCCACTGGCCGCCTGGCAAGAAGGGAGTATGGCTGCAGGGGAAATGGTTGTTGTAATTTCTCCTCAGCATTTTTCTCTGTCTCAACATGAGACTTGGCAAATAGTATAACTCAACATAAATGACACATTGTGCTTGAATTTTCTACTAATAGCTCTTTAAGATTCATTAACCACATTAATTGTAAGGACATTGCTAATTGTAATGTTTCTACATTTACACTTTGTTTTTTCTCTTCAAGAAAGATTACACTTCATTACTGGTATTCTTCCTTGCCTTTCACCTGACAATTATACAAAATAAGATAAAATCACTGATTAAAAAATAGGGTATTTTTAAGAGACCATTTCTATTGTTCTACCACCTAAATATTATAAAGTTTTTAAGAATTTGCATACGTATGAAATGGGTTTATTCTCTCAAGATTAGAATTTATATTTTGATATAGAAATGTGTGTTCACATCCATATATAATATACAAATAGAATTTTCCATATAGCTGAAATATTACAAATGCCAAGACATTATTTTTTTTTTTTCAACCCCTTTGGATGGGAATCTGAAATAGATGAGGCACTTCCTTAAACTAATAGAAAATGTTGTTTGTAATATAAACTTTTTTTATTTTTTTGGCCCAAAGTTATTTTGAGATCTTGTTGTATATGGAACTGTAGGGAAAGTTTAAATCATGTAGCTGACCAGTGCTATTAATCGTAGATGGAATTCAGAAACTTAATGAATGAATTTTAGGAATTACAGATACTAATAATTTTTAAAGAAACTCTGAGCAACAAAACATATTACCTATCTGTATTATATCCCACCTGATAGAAAGAAGCCTTCACACGCAATAGGACCTCAGTAAATGTTTGTTTAGTATGGAGTTGAATTGTCAGCCTTATGTTTGACACCACAGTGAATACAGGGAGCAACAAAACATATTACCTATCTGTATTATATCCCACCTGATAGAAAGAAGCCTTCACACACAATAGGACCTCAGTAAATGTTTGTTTAGTATGGAGTTGAATTGTCAGCCTTATGTTTGACACCACAGTGAATACAGGATAATTAGATGCTGTGGTGCGTCAGTAAAGGAGATGAGCCAGACTCCCCAGGTCCACAAGAGAAATTGCTTTCTGGGGAGATCAGGAATGGTTTCATGGAGGTGGTGGCACTTAAACTGGCTTTGAAAGCAGGTAGCGGAACTTCATCCCTTGGGGATGAGATGCCTGGCAGGCACAGGACCCTACATTAGTAAAGGTCTAGATGGCTCCAGACATTGAAGGGCTCTGGGCAATAGCCTACAGGAGAGTGGGGCCCATAGTAGGCTGCCTTTTTACTAAATGGGAAATTGAGTTAAAAGCTGAAATGACCTAATCTCCATAATGATAACCATCATTTTCACTCTTGGGTCTTTTAATGCAACATTAGCAATAACCTCAAATGCTTGGTTGACTTCAACTTACTTTAATATCATGGAGAAGCATCACAGTCTTGACCTTATGAGTCAAAGGCTTTCAAAGCTGGACTGGAGTTTTGCAACTATAGGTATAAATAGAACTTGTCGTCTTCGGGTTTTTTTGTTGCTTGTTTCTTTCTAGTTTGTCATGGTATGAAATTTGAGATTCCTAAGTATCAATAATTATAAAAACTTTAGGAGTTACTTGAGTTACTTGTTTCACTTAGTATCATAATGCTAAAATTCATTCATAAATTACTTGTTACTGCGGTTTGTTTTGACCGTTGTTTAATCTTCATGTGTAGAAAGAAGCTCAATAAAGTAAAAAATCTGTTCTTTGAAAACAATAACAACAACAAAAAGACAAATCTCTGGCAAGACTGATGAAGAGAAAATACAAATAAAGATAATATACAGGTGAAAAGGAACAGAACTACAGATAAATTTGAGATTTAAAACATAGTTGAATACTATCAAAAATATATGACCACAGTTTGGACAACATATTAGAACTGAAGAAAGAATGGGGGGGAAAGGTTGAAAATTCTATAACTCTTAAAGAAATGAGAGCAGTGATTAAAAATCTATCCAAGAAATATAAGGTCTAATTTTATAGTCTAGTTCCACCAAACTTTCAAAGAACAGATTATCTCAATTTTATGCAAACTCTTTCAGACACTGGAAAAAGAGAGAACATTCCATACTCGTTCTATGTGGCCAACATCCTTGATGCAAAACTAAACAAAGACATTATCAAAAAGGAAAATCATAGGCCAGTTTCATATATGAATGTGAATACAAGAATCCTAACTAAAATATCAGTAAATAGAATCCAACAATAAAAAATACATTTTGACCATGTTGAATTGTGTAAGGATTTTTTAGTATTAGAAAAAAATCTATTAATATAATTAATAACTAACAGCTTACGGAGAAAAACCATTGATCAACTCAGTGTATGTGGGAAAATATTGACAAACATCAAAACACATTATGTTTAAAACTCTCAGTAAATTAGAAAGAGACAGAAACTTCCTTAACTTGATAAAGAATATCCTAAAGCAAACGTGATCCTAAATAGACAAACTTTGGAATCATTCCCTTTAAAATAAGACACAAGACAGTCAACACTACACTCTTTTGTTCACCATTGGGTTAGGAATTCTAATCAGTGCTGTCAGGCAAGAAAAAAAGTAGAAGCAGATTAGAAAGGAGAAAGCAAAGCTGTCATTATTGGCAGATAACACGGTTGTGTGCATGAAAAAATCTGCAAGTTATTACAAATAAGAGACTTTAACGAGAGGGTAAATAGAAGAGTGATATGAAAGTCTCTTGCATTTCTGTACATCAGCCAGAAACAACTAGAAAATATAATTTTGAATATTTACAACAATATCAAAGAATGTCAAGTATTAAGTAATAAATTTGACAAAAATATGCAGTACAGTGTCGGGAAAATTACAAAACTTTATGAGGAGAAATGTAAAAACACCTAAATTTATGGAGAAATTTACCACATTCATGGAGAGCCAAGGTTAGCAAACTTTTCCTATAAAGGGCCATATACTAAATATTTCAAGCTTTTTGGACCATATGGTCTTAGTGCTACCACTCAACTTGCCATTGTACCACAAAAACAGCCATAGACAAGATGTAAGTAAGTGTCTGTGGCTGTGTTCTAATACAACTTTATTCAAAGAAAACAGATGGCAGGCCATAGTATGCCAACCCCTGATGCAGGGGAAGAATTAATATTGTGGAGACGGTCAGTTCTCCCTAAAAGGTACAAAAGAGTCAGTGTAATTCCCAGTAAAATGCCTACATGAATCATTATGGATGTTGATATAATTAGTGGAAGAATAAAGGGCAAAGAATAGCCAAGATACTTCTGGAGAAGAAAAACAAGGAGAGGGACTTGCCCTATAAGAAATCAGGATTTATCTAACTTCTAAAGTAGTTAGTATGGAATTGGTGGGGGAATCAAGAGATTGCTTATGGCATGAAATAGCTCAGAAACTGGCACACGTGTGTGTAGAGCATTGCTGTGTGATGGAGGTGGCATGTCAGCCAGTGGGTAAAGGACAGACTGTTGGATAAACAAACTCGTATGGAAAAATGATAGTCCCTGCCTTATATACAAGTATCAGCTCCAGGTAGATTAAGGACTTCAGTGTTGAAAATAAAAGTTGAAAATGCACAGTAAAAAATACGGGATGTATCTTAACACATTTTGATTTTCATATCTCTCGTGCCTAGTCTGTGAATACCTAGTTGATGATAAGGTAGATTGGGGCAAAATTATTGAGAGCCTTGAATGCCTACATAGTGGGGAGCCACCAAAGGTTTCTAGAGAGTTGCTCTTTGGAAGGGTAGTGTAGCAATGATGGGCGATGGGCAGCTAGAGTGGGAGGCTCCTTCCCAGTCTCCACAAAATGAAGCGAGAGGGGCTTTGGCAAATCCAAGTAGTGTGTCTAATACTGACTGAAATAGAAGATGAAGGGATTCTTTCAAATGTAAAAGTATCACGAATATACTAAGTGTTTTTTTGTTTTTTGTTTTTGTTTTTTTTTAATTGCCTTTCATTGTAGGATTCTCCTAAGATTGCTGTTGTTGATGGATGATTCAAGGTTTGGGGGTTATGAGGGTGACTTGTTTTTCTTCTACACTAAAGAAATCCTTGGATTTTATCTTACTCTAAGTAGAAGGAAAGTGGAAGGAATATAGGACCCTACAAACCCAAGGAAATCTTTAGGGCAGACTTAGACATGCTGCTCAGAGTCAACCTCTGAAATCCTGCGGTCAGGTAAGGGTTGATGTTTGATACACACATGTTCATTTTAATGATTTGTCCTTTAATGGGCCAGTCAA